GTGACGGTTTGTGGTGACTACCAACAGAGGAACTGCATTCAGTGAATGGTCAATGAGCTTTGAGAGTATAGCATTAACGGGAAAACCACGTCGTCTCATTTTCCCAGCATTAAAGGAATTGTGATATGCAAAAATATGCATTAATTTGTATGACTAATATTTCATATTGGTTTAGAAGTACATACAGACTTGAGGCTAAAGGACAAATTGAATCCAAATTATTTGCGAAGTTGGGAAAAAACTTGCACAGTAGTCAAAGCTATGAAAATTCCATTTTAAAATTTTAAAACTTAGTAAGTTGGTACATTAAGTGATAAAAATTCAAAGTTAAGCCAAAGTTATTCTCACCTAACTATTGTTACAAAATGAAATATAAATGCCCATATAAGCAGATATAAATGCCCTGAAATATAAATAGCGCATATTAATGCCACATGAAATTTGAAGCATGCATATTACCAAGTTATTTTAATTCGCTCCTCCTTATTATTACCCTGGTCAATGGTCATGGTTGCTGAGATGGTGATTTCTCACCACAAGTTCTTGTTATGGAATGAAATACGGACATTGAGATTGAGACGCGACCTTGCTCCACATTCGATTCAATTGAATTTATACAGTGAAGAAGATGTGATTTGTGGGTTGCTTCAGATTAATCTCACATGTCAATATAAATGCACCACGAATGTCAAACCGCAAATAAAATTGTTACGAGTGTTTATGTCTACATTTATGGTGTGAGTTTAATTGTTCTTGACCCACAGGAAGTAATGATGAGAACAAAGGCTCAAGAGCAAAATGTGTAGGTGGCAGTGTATATACAACTCATCGTCTGGCAATAATGGCAAATTAATCGTTTTCGTGTAGCAAGTTTGCATCAATAAATTCAGTTTAATGCATTTAACAATAAGTCAATATGTTGAACTGTCAGAAAATTTTGAAATGCATGTGCTCCGAAGGAGGTTATGCTCATCTGGAAAATTGGAACCTTTAATCGTGTTATTTTTTAAATGGATTTCGCTATTATTAATTAAGCAGCGAAGAAATTATTGTTCACAAGTAATCGTAGGTTATACTGCCATTTATCGGAGTCCACATTAATTAATAGTTGCAAATCAATGAAATTCCAATAGGCAGACTACTGCATATATGTAGTATATGTGAATATGTATGCATACACCTAAGGTCTTGCGAGTAGGTATAACCAACCATTAAATAACCTTCGTTTGTAGTAAGTATAGGTATGTGTATATTTTATGCCATGCAAATAGTCCACAGGGCGTAATATCGATAAAATACGAATTTAGTAGGCGATTTTAACAGTCTGCGAGTCAAAATTGGCAACTTTTCATTTTTTACCACATTCCTCAAAAATGTCACAAGTTAGGTAAATTTTAAATTCTTAAAAAGTATAATCAAAAATTGAATTACGCATTGAATTAGGTGCACCTATGTATATATCGATTTTGTTGGTTACATGACAAAATTGAAGATTTAATTTATATTTATTTCCATGTAGGTATCTACATATTTATAGGTTAAATTTCGGTGCTTAATAACAGAATGCTTCATGCGGTAATTACAATGTAGTGTAGTAAATTACATTAGCAAAAACTTTTTCCTAAGCATATATTCGCTGGAATAATTATTCGTTAAATTTAGCACAACAAAATTCAATACCATATCAAAATGTTAATCGATATACCATCAATTTAAATTGCACGCTACTAACAACCCATTTTCAATTAGGGTGCAATTTGCCGATCTCATTACCCTCATTACCATCAATCATCATCTCATTACTATCAATATTTTGCATCACATGTGAATATGTCCCCTCTTTCACTATCAAGACAATTATACATTGTACACGTAAGTCCTGCTTATTTAGGATACTTTGTAAGTACAACTGAATTATCATGAAAATGACACTTTCAAAATGAAAATCTAACCTTCCATATCGTGTAATATAGGAGAAAGCATTTCATAGCAAACTTATGTCATGTAAATTTAAATTTAGCATCACAGGCATTTCACAATCCCATTTCACAACTTAAGATACACTAAACTTCAAAGGAAACTTAAGATACAATTCAAGCCACATAATAACGCCAAACAAAATGTCCATCCCCATACGATAACGGTATTAAATCCTGAGAAGCTATAGTCAATGTGAAAAAAAATGTTATCAACTTACCTAAATTCATCAAAACTACTATTTAAGTTCCCTATAAGTAACATGCTAAATTTACAAAATTCTTTCTTCAATTGTTAACTGTTTATACCAAAAAAAGTAGATATGTACGACCATTTTTGCATTTCCTGCAGATTAGTCCACCTGTAGTGGAACTTGTCACGTTAATTTTCGGTTTCTGTTATCAAGTTTATTTTCTTGGCGTAAATTTTACTGCTATCAGTCGCCACCGCTATGCAAATTATTAAGTTCATTTCATACTTTTATTAGAGAAAACAGTGGATTCGCTACGAGTGAAAGTTATGCATTACATGGACTGGACACGCTACTCACTTTATTTATAGAGTAGAACAAGCAATGTTATTCTACACCATGTGCTACGTTACGTGCATTCCGTTGCATGAAAATAAGAGAGGAAACCATAGGAAGACCTGCGCCTCCCGGTGCTGGTGGCCTCACATGCTTTCACTCCACTACAAAACGAACGGTTTCTCCAACCATCAAGCCATTGCATTCTCTTTGTCCAACCAACAACCTTATTAAGAGTTGCATCCCAACTTTCACTTACATTTCCTGAAAACATTGGTGCAAAAATAAATACAAATTCATCAGTAACACTCTTGTTCAGTGGTTTCTGAAAAAATTGTGTAACTTTTTAGACGTATTTTTCGTTTGGACATCAGCACCAATCCTCTCGGTAAGTGAAAAGGTTTCAGGTAAAAATAGAAATATTTATCCGACATGTTGTTTACTGTACAATAACAATTCGGGCGCATATCCATGACAATTTAGCCGTTACTTGCATAAGCTGGACTTACAAAATATCGCTGTTACCATTTTGAGAGGGAGAGAGACCTTGATAAAGCATTTATTATGAGGAAAATATTACGTCTCAACACTGATCCAGGCGACTACCTGGGTTGGAAAAGATTATGCCGGAAATTCAATTTGAAAGAATCCGAATATATTAAAAACTTCTGAGTCAGAAGTTCTGACGTCAAACATTATTACGACACGAAGGACAAGGGCATTTCCTTCTACGCAAATTTAAATGTGTTTGCGGAAGCAACTCCTGCAAAGTTTTGCATCCCTGGAAAAGAACAAATGCAAGCAATTAAGTCGAACATTGTCATATTTCCGACGGAAGAGATTGCACCAGAGATACGCGTGACCTAAATGTATCGTCTAGCTAGCTCTGTACCCAATAAAGTGGAAAGTTGAAAGGCAACCTTCATATTATCACAGTCTGGTCGGAGAAAGTCCCTGAGTTGGGCAAGATTATTGCAGCGTAGGGAAGTGGAAGGCATGAGGAAGGACAGAAGGCTATATTCAGAATAAAATAAATGTACACATGATGATATGGGATCATCGGAAGGACACAGAGTAATCATTTCATGTTCAAGAACAACATAAATATAACCACCATACATACATAAATTCCTTATTTCTACGACTCAACGTTTATCCTGATGAAAGAATGTAAACATAAAATGAAACAAGGGACAAGTTGGTGATGAATAATTGACAATGGGGGAGAAGTAGGTTAAGCCTTCCAACCATAAGCTTGGTGGTGGTGGTGGTGGTGGGGCTCGCCTATTAGAAAAACATTCGAGAAGTGCAACAAGGTTTGCGAAGTATCAGTTTAAATTGCTACTCCGAAATGAACTGCGTGTTGCATTGCACTACTAAAGTTGCGTGGATGGAGTCGGGATCGGGATTAAACTGCAGGAAGGACACCGCACTCCACGTGCACATTCTTTCTCCGGGAACCACTTTCTCCTGGAAGAAAGTGGGTCATCCATTACCTACTTGTATGCAACACAACCACAACCACCACGGACGTAGGTGCAGCAGAACTTGTTGCGTAGTTGTCGTGTTGTCTTGTCTTGCATAGCGGATGGAATTTTGTCGTATGCATTATTCTTTACAAGGTTTTACTATGTATAATTAACTACCTATTTGGAGTATTTGGACAATACGTAGGCAAACAATTCTTCAAAAACTCTTTGTTGATGCATATTTTTTTCCGGTTCAATTACGGAACTTATAATGAATTGTGTATAAAATTACATAAGTTTGTATCCTTTAGGTGGCGAAAGTTTGTAAATTACAAATTGTAATGTGAGATGAAGCTACGGAAGGACTTACAAATTGCGGAAATTACCAGGAAGGATGTAGAAGTGGAGCAGAGAGCATATCGGAGAAAATGTACGAGCAGATCAGACAGCAGACGCAGTGTGGCTTAAAATCCCTATCTCCTACTTAAACGAATTGGCCATGGGTTATCATTAGGGGAGAAAGTGGGCTATTTTAATCTAAAGTGACACACTGCCACGCGCCACGAGTCGACCCTCACCTACACCAAAGTTGCACCACGTTAGGCAACAGGTATTATTGGTTTGGGAAAAGGGCTCAATGTCGAGCCAAGCTCGTTGCTGGTGTTCTCGTAGTTATCTCCAATTTTAATTTCACGGGGACAGTGCCGATGCCCTACTTTTGAAACTGAACATGCGAAATTTATTTTCAGATTTGTATTTGCTTCCCCAGCTTTTCCTACGTCGCACAAAATTCCTTATTGTATCTGGCTTATGAATAGAAAGCAATTTCGGATGAAATTTCTTTATGCTTTGAGTTTTGAGTAAGTAATAAGGTCTCTTTGAGGATATTTGAGTTCCATAACCCACACAATCAAAAGACGAAGTACCGAGCACCGTTTTTATTCAATTGTGCATGGAAAGTCAGAAAATATAATGGATACATGTACATGTCGTACGTGTACATAAAAATACATGTATTGTTACGAATATTAGCAATATTAAGAAATTTAATGAAATGCGAGATTGTGTTATTTCAATAACAGTTATCATATTATTAATATTTTATTCAATTTTGTTATAAATTATGCAAACAACTCTTACTAAACTTGCGACAGTCGTCCGCTCTCATTCTCAATTTCTGATTTGGGGATTTTAACCAGGACGTCTCGTAGCACAGTTCGTAGGAGGCTTTGACAATCCTCAGGAGACTTGTTTATCCATGCGTTGTATGAAATCTAATTATATTATGACAAAAAGGAAAATAGACACCAATGGAGTAAAACTTTGACTTAACCATGTTACATGTGTGTACCTCGTAAATCTTGTATCCCATTTTCTCAACTTTCCCTTTAAGTACGTTGAAACGTCCGAGGGGTTCGTCAGTTCCAAATATTAATTTGTCCCACGAATAAGTAATAATCGCATGATATTGTAAATCTCCACCATCAAGGTCTTCAGATGTCAAAATTTTTGGCTGGTACTCTTGTTTTCCTTTAAATGACTCTGGGACGGGAACAATTTGACCAGATTTGTTGGTACAAAATACAACATCTACATATAAAAATTTGGTATTTCAGTTTACAACTCATTTTGAGTAGATCTGAAGAGAGGTTGTTCGGTAATACCTAGAGTGCCAAAGTGGGGCACTACGTTGCAAAAGTACGCGTGACTAGAATCGCCAAGAATGTCTCCTGTCATTTCAAAGACATTTCTAGAAAACTTTTCAAAACCATGAACCTTTTGTTGTTTTGGATCAGGAACCCATGTCATAAATGTCTATTTGGAAAGAGAAAATTATTAAGTAGTAAATGCTTTGAGATTTCGTGTTCCTTTCTCTGAGATCTAAAAGTATGTTTACTAGTTGTTACCTTTGTCAAAAATCCTAAAACTTTTTCCGAAAGTCGTTGCCCAGTATAGTCAGATAGTTGAGGAGCAACTTCTTGATCCAATCGGAGAATTTCCATCGGATATGTGTACATAGATTTACCTATAAAGTAGTTCATACAGAGCAATGGTAAAACTGATCAAAATATCGACTAACAAGCAATTACCATCCTCTAGAACTATAACTCACCATATGTTGTGTTCAAGTATTCCTTAGAAAGAGCCTTTGTTATCAGACTTCTTGGATACACTCCACCATACGCAAGATGATTCAAAATAGGGATTAGTCTCTTTTGAAATATTTTAGCAATTAGATCATTCACTGATTCATCTTTTACATCAGGACTTTCAGAACTCGCTTCGTCCTCATCACTTTCTTCATCATTAATACGCACATCTCTAAATGATGATCTTGCTTGTACTGCTAAAGCGAAATTTTCCATAATGGTGAAAATTGTTTTGAATGCGGGCGACGATGGCTGATCCAAATCTTCAAATGAACGGGCCAACCAATCAATATGAGTGATGTCAAGATCTCTCGCATCTACGTTGTTCTTCTCAGCTTCTAAACGATCTGCGATGGCTGACAAAAATTTAGCATTTCTCACCCGATTTCGACTGGCAAACAAGAGTAATGCAGCACATGCATTTAAATCCAACCGAGGCACTTCGGGCAGCATTGCATTTAACAGTTTAGCCACGGTCTCCTCAATGTGGAGTCGTCTTGAAATACAAAGTCCACTAAATATCGCAGTTACACTCGCGTTTGAAATAGTTTTTGAATTATCTATACACATATTAAGGATGTCAATCACAATTTGGGTCGTTTGTAGTGGATATTTCGTTTTATAAAACACGGTGCATATTGCACTCAACTCTTCCATCGTGATAGGTCGTCTCCCATTCCTTTCCGAGTCTTCCATCAGTCTGGTGATGTTATACTCTACGTTATACAGTTTGAGATCCTTGGGTAGCTTCTTTGCCCGACAAATGCATTGGCACATTCGCACAAATTTTTCTCTAGACAAAGTATCCACCTAGATCAATAAATGAAAGTTTGGGTATAATACTTTCTAATTTGTGAAGTATATAATTTCTTCACCTTTCTAAAACAAGTTTTAATAACAATCCAGTGGAACGTAGACTTACTCCCAAGTAGGAGTAAGTCCCATAAGTTTGCATAAACGAAGCTAATGGGTACCCTCCACTTTTTCCGTTCCACTCCCCGTCTGAGACACTCGTCGTCAAATGGCATCCAGATTTTGGCAAATTTCACCTTGCCTACCTTATCCTTCGGATAAGAAAACAATCTCAGATGGAAAAGTGCATACTGCAGCTCGACTTCAGTCAGCTCTTGAAGAGAGGCAATAAGGGCGTCCACCTCCCCTTTATACTTGACGTGAAACACATGCTCATCAGGGGAAGATCTCGCAATGGCGATGAAGTTTTTGACCGCGGGATGGGTAATCTCGGTTTCAACTTGGTGGAGGTCGTAATGGAAAAAGAGGTCGAGGTATGCGGGATGATTCCTTATAAACAGAATGTTGGGGATGTTTCTTCGGGCTGCGTTTTCTGAGCCAATATCAGCATCTTCGTACAATGAGGTTGGCGAGACTCGGAAGTACCTCTTCGATGGGAAAATTAGCACCGGTGTTGTAAATTTCTCTACTTGTTGAATTTCATGTCGGCCTGAAGACAGCAATAAAACTTATTATACTTTCAATATTTGGTGTTGATGTTAATACGAATATGACATTGATTTCGATTGGTAGGTTTTTATTAACGATGTCGGAAAACCATTAGAATATTCATTGCTGTTTTTTTCAGCTCTCCACAATGTATGAAAGACGCAATCGAATATAAATTTGCCAAAAAGGACTGAAATATAGCTGCATAAGACCAAAAATAAATAGAAGTGCATAAAGAAATGCATCAATAATTTGTACACTATTTTATTTACCTGCATTCTGAAAAACTTTCGAGTTGATGTCTTTGGGAGAGATAAGCCTCCTCCATCCGTACAAGGTGGATAATCGTCGTAACAGCATATTCAAGAGTGGATATATTTTACTTTTTACGATAAATATTTGAAATAGATGAATTGGTTTATTATTTACGAAACATGGCTATTTATCCATTGTCAGAAATTCAGAGTAAGCTAAGCACATGAAAATAGTCGGCAGATATAAACTCCGCGCAACCTCACGTTCTATGAGATTGTCATTGTCGGGTTTAAAGTTTCTATATTTTTCATGAAACGTAATTTTTTTTACACAAAGTCCTAGTTTGATTTGATTTAGGAGTAAATAATCCTGTTGATAATACAAATTACTTAAGTATCAATTTTATAGTCAAATATGCATTCCAACCTAGAGTTGCCGAATACTGTATGTATACTTTGACAAATGTCAATATATATCCTAAAATTGATTAGCTAAGTTTATTATGTTTATCATCATAGTTAAATAATTACTTAAAACACATTTTGCATGAGAGATCAGCAACAACTATTTTCCAGCACAATGGCTTAATAAAATCTCGTAATTCCTTAGAAAAATTGACTATATAGTATTCATGCAAGACATTTACGGCATAAACAGTACGAGTACAAGACTCGCATTCAGCAGCTGACGGTTTCTCATTCTCATACATTGAATACCACACACTAGATTTGACCATTTAATTATATAAATAATTTCAACATGACCATCCTTATCCTGTAAAATTTGTGCCTTCGATTTCGGTTGAAAATGAGTCTCACATTGGTGCTGAAGTATGCTCAGTTTACAAGGCCTATTTCTGCCAGGTGAGGACTTAACGTATCAATATTGTCTGATTTATCAGATTTTAGCGATTTTACTTTACTGGTGAATGTTTTAGTTTCATATGTCAATTAATTTATTTTGAATTTTTTCCTAACAGCTATGGATGTGGTCGAGCTTGGCTATGCACTTCACATAAATTGCATGGAAATTCAGTGGCCGGAAGCTTGTACCATGAGACGTATCAGAGATCAATTGAGAAACCGGCAGAATTTTGGGGACAAGTTGCAGAGAAAATTGTGTGGACCAAGCAGTTTGACAAGGTCTTGGACACGTCTGAATCTCCCATGATAGGCTGGTAAGTTATAGAACAATGCATATCACTCTTTATCCTCCCTGAACGGTTCTGAAATTCAGAATCTGAATGATTATGATTTTGTAAAAAAAGGTTTCCTGGTGGCGAGTTGAACGTTTGCTATAATGCGATTGATCGTCACGTTGATGAAGGCCGTGGGGGGCAAACCGCACTAATTTACGATAGCCCAATGACAAAAACTGTCAAGAAATACACCTACGCACAACTCCAGGACAAAGTATCCAAGTTGGCTCAGGTGTTGGTGTCAATGGGAGTGTCGAAAGGAGACAGGGTGCTGATTTACCTTCCTATGGTTCCAGAAGTATTAGATTTAACTATGATTTTTTCAAACCATACTAATACGAATAGTATAATTATATTAAATTTCTGTATAAAAGGCAGTTATGGCCATGCTAGCTGCAGCCAGATTAGGAGCACCTCATTCCGTCGTGTTTGGTGGTTTTGCTGCGAAGGAATTGGCTACAAGAATTTCTCATGCGCACCCAAAAGTCGTTCTCTCTGCTAATTGCGGTATCGAACCGAGTCATGTCGTACCCTATAAACCAATTTTAGACGAAGCGATTGCCATTTCCAAAGTCGATAACTTGAAATGTCTAATTTACAATCGAGATAATTACCCCAAAGCACACCTGAAACCTGGAGTAGATTTTGACTGGAATGAAGCCGTGGAGAAAGTGAGTCGGGGGCATGACGCAGTTCCGGTGGAATCGAGTCATCCTCTTTACATTTTGTACACTTCGGGAACTACAGGTGTTACGGATTTTATTTGCTTAATTCTGAAATCGAATCTTGGAACTAATTTCCTTGTTTTTGTTTGCGATTTTTACTAGGAACGCCAAAGGGGGTAGTTCGCGGATCAGGGGGGCATGCCGTAGTGCTGAATTGGTCTCTTAAAAATATTTTTGGCATGGAGGGCCCGAATAAAGTGTGGTGGGCTGCATCTGACCTCGGCTGGGTTGTGGGCCACTCCTACATTTGCTATGCTCCCCTTCTCGCTGGAATTACAACCATTTTATACGAAGGGAAGCCTGTAGGGACGCCAAATGCAGCGCAATTTTACAGGTTCTCTCGTCTATGTGTTTTTTGGGTGTTAGAAATATTTACAAAATATATCATAATTCATAGTACAATTATGTGATTTTAGGGTAATAGATGAATACAAGGTCAACGGGTTTTTCACGGCTCCTACGGCATTTCGAGCCATCAAACGGGTCGACCCGGAAAACACAGAGTCTAAACAATACTCGAGAGCTTCGTAGGTGGACAACTTTATTTAGATTTGTTGTATTTTTAGTAGAACTACTTTGTGTTATTTATGTGATTCTATGAGATTCTTTGTATTGGTATAGACTCAAGAACATTTTCGTAGCAGGTGAACATTGTGATAATCAAACTAGAATCTGGGCACAAACATCATTTAAAGTGAATATATTATGATTATATATATTACAGTTATATATACATAAATAATTTTTGTTACATATATCGTCTCTTTATTTTTCCAAGGTGCCTGTACTGGACAACTGGTGGCAGACCGAAACAGGACACCCCATTGCAGCTACATGTGTTGGCCTGGGAAATGATACCAATCCCCCAGAACATTCGTGTGGCATTCCTCTTCCTGGATACCAATGTAAAAAAAACAATAAAAATATGTCAATATTCTGAAATCCTCACTTATAAGCCAAACAAACTTTGTGCTATTAAGTGGAGGTACTTCGAGAAGATGGTGAAAAAGCAAAAGCAGGGGAATTAGGAAGAATCGTCTGCAAGCTCCCAACCCCTCCAGGCTTCATGGAAACGCTCTATCTTAACGATAAGCTATACAAGGAAGCCTACTTTTCAAAATATCCTGTACGTTCATAAAAATTCTATAATTATGGTCAATTGAATTCTGAAAAAAATATGCCACAATTTCATTATCCACATAGGGATACTACGATTCGATGGATGCTGGAGTGATGGACGAGAAGGGATACGTGTACGTGATGGCGAGAGATGACGACGTGATCAACGTCGCAGGTCACAGGATATCTACGTCTGCTTTGGAAGAAGTGATTTTGCAACACCCATACGTATCCGACGCTGCCGTTGTTGGCGTACCTGATTCTCTCAAAGGTCAACTGCCCCTTGCTCTCTACGTCCTAAAACCCGAACATGGACAAATTTCTGAGGAACAGATTGGAAAAGAACTAATTCAACAAGTTCGGAACTCAATTGGCCCTGTGGCTGCCTTCAAACTAGCAGTTTGCGTCCCGGCATTGCCTAGGACAAGATCTGGAAAGACGCCACGAAAAACCATATCCGACTTGGCTCAGGATAAATCTGTGAAAGTAAATGGTTGCACGAATTTCAAGTGATTTAAATTGGATGTGTTAACTAATAAATTGTAATTTTTTTATTGTTAGATTCCACCAACAATTGAGGATGCTTCGGTGTATGAGCATATCGTGGAATCACTACAACGGATAGGCTATGCGAAAAATTCTTCTTTTAAATGACTATGACAATTATATTTGTTTTTAATAATAAGAAATGAAGCTACATCGGATTTGTAGTCTCTCAAAAACTTAACTGTATTTGTTACTTAAAATCATCAAAGTATACATTTCAAGGAACATTGCATTTCGTTTGTTAAGTTCGTAAAAGTTCGCATTCAATATATTTTGTGCATGTACTTAGTAAGTACTACTTGCTACTCTAAAACTAGTGTACAAACTAACCAGTTCTTCTTCACACGAATAACTTTCATGATACAAATTATTAATTGCACACAAAATATTGAAACCCTCCCTTTGCCTGACTATACATACACATACAAACACGTCATAAATAGAATTATGATAATGATAAATGTGAATTTAATATAAATTTAACTATGAAATCTCAGTTTAGGCATGCATAATTGAGTAAGTCAATAACATTTGAGGTGTAACTAAATAAATTATTAATTATATAAGCGCACTAGTGAATAGAATCATATATATTGCAAAACTCCTTAATTCTGAGACTGTGAGTATTTAATAACTATCCAACAACATTTCACCCTCGTCTTCCTTATCACGAGTCCTGAGTCAGTTCATATTATGTATGTGATTATGCTTGGTAAATTCTGTGAAGGATACTCACCTGGAAAAAATATTGATATACAGGAAAGTCCTCACAAATTCGGAACTTTTACATGAATATATTGCATTGATTTTAAAATACGCTTGCATTAATGAGACCTAAACAATTTTAGAGTGAAAACATTGTTTTTTAGTTTAGCTGCCGTAAAAAATAATAAAGCCTCTTCTTTTCTATAGCACACGTGAAATTAAGATTGTAATTAAGTGACTAACTGAACTAGTTGATTTAATTTTTGGCATACACTTAATACTTGGATTGTTTCGATGCATTCGGAAATAGTGAATTAAACTTATTACATATATAATTAGATCTATCTGAACACTGACGCAGCCTACACGTTGCAATCTCGGTAGGAAAACTACAATATTATGGTGGTGGATTGGTCTTGTATGTAATGATTAATTAAATATGAAATAATCACCCTAAAGGAGTAGTCTCACTTTGATTTCTTTGAATTGGAATGCTGTAGTTTATAGCGTGATCTTAAATAAAGCAATATAATAAAAGTTGATTAAAATCCTCTGAACCCCCAAAAATGACAACGAAAAATCTCTTTGGCTTTTATCTTGATTCATCAGTCTATAGTGTCGGTAGTTGGGTAAATGTTTCTGGAGCTATTTCAGTAAATCCTACTGAAATCTTATGCCCTGGACATTCCACTTTCACAGGAAATATTTTTGCTACAACGTCAGGACGATTAGGTGAAATACAACGTCCACGTCTAAGATCAAATTTCCATCCATGCCATGGACAGCGAATACAAAGGCCGGGACCAGGGACCTCCTCAATCTCTCCATCCATTAACGGCCCACCTTTTATTATTACACGATAATTTAACAAACCTTTTCCAACAATCAGGTTACATAGATTTGGACGTAAAAATCAATATCTAATACCTCGATGGGGACAAGTTTGGAGGACTGCGTAGAGCATATTATTATGGGAGATTATTGTAATATCCTTCTCGTTAATCCTCACATGGATTCGGCCTTCTCGGTCGACATCTAAATGGAATAAAATTCATTTTAAGTGATGAACACTGAAATTTCTGTGTTAAACACAGAAATGTTGTCAAACACTGAATATATGAATACTCAAACACGAATATTAATAATTAATACACTCACCGGCTTTGGTAACATCTGGGACTGGGAAATATAGCAAGTTATCATCCACTGGTTTATTTTTATACCCATTTTCCCCAGACGTTCCCATTCTAGACCTCATTAAGCAAATTAAAAAGACTTTCCCGTGTTAAAATCCGACCTCAAATCTCGAAACGTCATAGACTAGACACTCTGAACACCGATGTTATTTCTTCAGATCACAGTTTAAAAGTAGCTGCAAGAAACAGAAACAAACAATTATCAATCCCTCCATATCAACAAATTGACACCTGAAATAAGTAAATCATAGTAAATAATAAAAATCTGTGCATCATTAAACGCCTTCCTCTCCATATAGTCTCAACCACCAAATTAATCTGCACCTCCACCACATTAACTTTCATGCCCTACTCACCTCTTATCTTATCGTCCGAGCCGGCTTATCAAGTTGAATAAAAAACAATGCAGGGACGACAAGACACAGCTGACCGCAAATTGTTCACTTTTTCCTCATCCTCAGAGTGAGTTTCTAGCTGTGGAGAGCAGCAGAATTATTATATTGAGAAATCTCCAGTCCGAGTTTTAGTGGCCTCCAGCTACACTCCAGAAGCGCAGAATGTTATGTCGTGCTGGATTTCCTACACGGATCGGATGCCATTTAATAATTCTCCACGTCTCTCAATTCTCCCCAATGTCAAATTCACAAAATACGAAGCAACCAACAACACACACTAATTCCGTCAATAGCAAATCAAAGCAATAAAAACCAACACTCATCATCATGAATTTGAAATCCAAATTCCCAGTTTCCATTAAATAAAGACAGTCCAAACATTGAAGCAATGTCGTAATTTAGTAAATTAGAGTTCAAGTACAACTAGATAGATACGCAGTTTACATAGTTTTCGCCTGCGCCAAACCAATGGTAATTTTTAATTACCGAAAGCTGCACTTCATCCAATAAATTAGTGGTGCTGGTGGTGGGGGTTTTTATAGGGGAATTTTAGCTCTGAAATTACGCTCCCTTAAAGGTGAGCGTAGTTTCAGGCGTCAAAGGCCGTCAAAATTCTCAAACGACTAGGAGGAATTATGGTGAGTGTGTAAAAATACTGGGATTATATTAGGATTCTTGATTACGTTAACCAAGTTCAGTTTTATCTTGTATCTTTTAGGGAACCAACGCCTCGCAGTTGGAAAAAGAGATCGGAATGGAGTTCCCACCAAATGAACGATTTTTTGGTCTCGCCAACGTATGTGCTGCTGAATCATAAAAAAATTGTATACAAGGATTATTTTTTGTAAGTCAAACTAAATGACTATGATTCTGTTATTTAGTTCGGAAACACCTGCTACAGCAATTCCGTGCTGCAGGCGTTGTATTTCTGTAAACCGTTTCGAGAGAAAGTATTAGAGTATAAGGCCAAGAATAAGCGACCAAAGGAAACGCTGTTATCCTGCCTGGCCGACCTGTTCTACACGATTACTACGCAAAAGAAGAAGGTTGGGTCTATTGCGCCCAAAAAGTTTATTGCCAGACTACGCAAGGAGAAAGAAGAGTTTGATAATTACCTTCAACAGGATGCTCACGAATTTTTAAACTTTTTAATTAATCGCATCAATGAAATAATTTTGGGTGAGTTGTCAGTTTGTTCAGAACTCGAAAGTTTTTAATGAGTGATTTTTAATACTCGGTTATTTAATTAGCTGAACGTCAGACGCAGACGACAAAGAAACCTGGGTCTGAAAATGACTCAAAAGGGCAAGAACCGACCTGGGTACATGAAATATTTCAAGGTATTTTGACTAGTGAGACGAGATGCCTCAATTGTGAAACTGTAAGATTTATATAACATTCAATATACTCATATCATTTGGAAGAGAAGTTAAATTTACAGCCGGATTTTATATGTATTATTAGGTGAGTAGTAAAGATGAAGACTTTTTGGACTTGCAAGTAGATATTGACCAAAATACCAGTATCACGCATTGTCTTCGGTGCTTTAGCAACACAGAAATGTTGTGTGGAGATAACAAATTTAAATGCGACAACTGTTGCAGTTATCAAGAAGCGCAGAAACGCATGCGAGTAAAGAAACTTCCCGTCATACTGGCTCTCCATTTAAAACGTTTCAAATATGTTGAACAGTATAATAGGCATATTAAGGTTTCACATCGTGTCGTATTTCCCCTTGAGCTTCGTCTCTTCAATACAGTATGTATCTTTGGATCATCCGAATTTTAAACGTTGCATTCATGAAACCACTGAAACAATTAAATTGAGAAACATAATTTTAAATTTCAGTCTGACGACGCTGTCAATCCAGATCGACTCTATGACCTGGTAGCCGTAGTCATTCACTGTGGCAGTGGACCAAATCGAGGTCACTACATTAGCATAGTGAAAAGTCATGGATTTTGGCTCCTATTTGATGATGACATGGTTGACGTAAGCATAATTAAACAGTTTCTTAACGTAGGATTATTTATGATTTACATATGTCCATTAAATATTTGCAGAAAATCGATGCCTCAGCAATAGAAGATTTTTATGGACTCACGTCGAACGTTCAAAAGTCCTCCGAGACGGGTTATATATTATTCTACCAGTCCAAAGACTGCACCGGATAAAAGACAACCTACTCCTGCTTTCACCTTTCCTTATTAATTCTTCCTCCTCCTCACGACTACTTTGACCAACTTTGTCCACCATCCATTATCATAACGCTATCTTTTAAAAGAACCCCGTGCAACTGTTTTAACTCTCGTATAATTAATTGTATTTTTACGACATAATATTCGACAGGTTTACTCAAAATTATAAACAGAGGGCTATTATAGAATCTGCAGAATAGTTACTTGATGAATTCGATCAGAATGTACCCCTCTTAAAACACCAAATTATAGTTTTTGTTGAAAGACGAATAATGAATAAATCATAATCCTTCTATATGCAATAATAATATAATGAACTTTTATTGTTTATATAGTTGCATAAACAAACAACGAGTCATATTCTTCAAAAAATGTATACAAGTATATTTTAAACAGTATATTTGATACGCATACTTGAAAAAAGTAGTGTAGTATTGATAAGCTACAAACTTATTATTAAGTTATTAGTCAATCATGAGTCACAGTAGCATATCTAAATATCTATGATGGGAGAAAGCATAGCTCAAGAAATTTCTTACAAATAACAAAAACTTTTTTAAATAAATTTGATTATGTTATACTACAGCCAGGTATGATCACCAAAAAGTACAATTAGAACGATTTGGTGTATATGCAAAGACCAGCTTGAATACGATTCATTGGAATCTCCACCCGATTCTGGAACAACTGTAAATTTTTTCCTTCTAGGGAAGCCTTGGTTTCTTTAATAGTGTCCTTGATGCTCTTCAGCTCGTACAAGTTCCTTTCACCAGTTGATAAAGTCTACAAACCCACGAGACATGTCAATTATTAAAAAGTGAACTGCATAATAAGAAAACCCATTCAATTATAAAATGAAAAACACAACTCTCTTTTCACTCACCTTAATTTGAAGCATGAGGGAAGTCAAGTTGCTAACCAGCCCGATAGTCTTTGGATCCTGTACAGCTCGACGACTGTTCTTTGAGTTGTACGTTTCAACAATAAGCGTAGCCTCCTGTTTGCACTGATCCTGAACCTGCTCTGGAACAATCATTTGATTGGCTCCATGATCAGGAGCGATTTGCTGTAAGAGGTTGAATTAATTTTATTAGTGAATGCGTGCATTCAATAAAAAATAGTATCAATATTACTATTAATGGAATTACCTCCAGGCAATACGTCTGAATTCCTTCAACATACATTGCCATTTCCTTGTTCATTGAGTCTAAATCCAAAACACAGCGAGCATACCGAAGACGGTAATCTGTGTTGAATGGCTTTCCATATGAAAGCATCTTTTCCGCTTCCACGTTCAATTCCTTGAGTTGTAGGATTTTTTCCCGCTTGGCCTTTAGCAGTTTTGAAAGTCGAACCTATTTATGCAAATATATGGATATTTCTCAGGGTAAGAATTTTGCCAACCTATCTATGTCAAATACAAATGTCAGATATACTATGACTTACAATCATATCCAAGAGGCGGATGGGAAATCCACCAAGCATTCCTCCCTCTGGGAATGGGGATGTGGGGAATCGGTAGAGTCCATCTTCGCCAACTAGTCCTGGATTTTGAAATTTGAACGCAGCTGTGCCGAATCCGAAACTTCGCCTTGGTATTTTCAGTGCAAAGCTGGATGTGGATACCGTCTCCACTGGGTCGTTAGACTATACGGTTGAAAAACGTAAGAAAGATTATTCAATAGAATTAGAATTAGAAAACTAGTTTAACTATGGGATGCAAGCTAATCAATTTTTAATCTAAGGGTTTGTTAAAAATCCCAAATTAATTTGTTGCGGGGACATGTATATGCAGTTAATATTGCTACTATCAGCACATTGTCACAGTCACTGTTTACATACCAGAACTTCATAATCTGGAATAGAATGGGTTCCAAGGCCAGCTCGATCGAAGGTGATTCTGTACGTGTTGTTGGAAGTGTCAACGCCTTCAATGGTTCCAGTAAAGAGTCCATCCTGAGGGCGTCGTAAACGAGCAGTAACCTTTGTTCCAATCGTTAACTGCAATGGAATCTCGTCTGGAAGTTCTTTGTAGTTGAAGTCTGTAATTTTGCGCTGCTGAATCATTCGAATTTTTTGCCGTCTGCGTCCAAGTTCTTCACGTTCCTCGTCAAAAAATGCTTGAGAACATCGTCTAGGTTTTCCCATAATTCGTCGGATTTTGCACCATTCGACACGAGTCAACTTTCTCGCCTTCAAAAGCGGAAATGATTCTCGCAAGCAGGTTTGAAAATCATTTTCTCCCTCAAATAGCACTCTGTAAATCAAATTATGATGAGTTTAGCTGCATTAAGATCATGTACATAAATAAAATGCAGGTAATAAATACATAAAATAAATTACTTACTTATCAATATTGCTGTAGAACCATTCATAGCACACCCATTTGTGAGCTTTTGGTAACTTTAACAAATTCCTTAGTCGCAAGCTAATGTCTTGTGCCGTCTTTTTGTCAATAGTCTGTTTAAAGTCATCCTGAGAGGAGGAAAGAAGTCCAGTAGTAAAGTCTGTGGGTGTTGGCTCTCGACGACCTCGACTCTTGAGGGGCAGAACAGAATTGTACTCTCGCTCTTGTTCTTTCATTTGCCGTTCCTTTTCCTTCTTTCTCTCCCGTTCACGTTCTTTGGCAAGACGATCTTTCTCACGTTTCTCAATGTATCGTTGCTCCATCATTTCCAAACTGCCAGATGTCCCCGGTTCCTTTTTGATTTTAGCAATGGGTTTCATGACATAATCTGTCGATTTACGAGATTCATCTTTGATAGAGGTTCGAGCTGCTTTTCCAGGAGTACGTTCTGGTGTTTTACTTGGTCGATGTTGAATCATGTCTTCGGATCGACCGGCCCTCTGTGTAGGTTCCCTGCCATCTTTACTCTTCCGGGTTTCTGATCGACCTCCTAATTGATTATCATTAAACGCTTTTTAATTATCATTAAGCATCTTAATTCAGCTTTAGTTGGTTCATACTTTGCAGTTAAAGATTCAGTATTTGAATAAGAATTAAAAGAATAAAGACAACTTACGTCCTTTAGCTACCTCGGCTGGACTTTTATGAACAGTTTTTATATTCATTTTATTAGATTCAGCTCCTTTTCTCGGCGTTGTGTCTCCATCAAACCGCCTACCCAACTTTGTTGGTGACGGCGGTACCATTGTTGGACTTGTTAGTGACTTTTTCGATGGACGGCCTGGTTTCCTAGTTGGAAACGTAGTCACTACTTCCTCCTCCACAGCGGATGGAATTTCAACCTCTTCCCCAACTCCATAATCAAGAAGATCACTAATTATCATTTCTGGTTCATCCTCCACCGGCTCTATCTTGATCGCCCTCTTTGTTCCTGTATTTTTGTGTTGGCCACGCTTATTGAATGCGTCAGTCACCATCACATCTTCGTCGAAATAGAATCGATTCTTTTTCCTCTGCCTTGCTGGCTGCAAAATAATAATATATTAATTAATTTAAATGGGATACTTCAGATAACTGGGTCATTATATGTCAAGATTAGATTTGTCACTTATTACAAACAAGAACGTATCTTCTCCACCTTAACCAGTCACCTCTCAATTTATCGCTTAATATTCATAATAATATATATATACTAATATTATATTATAAAGTTATTACCATTCCTCTCCTATTCAGTACAACCTCTTCTGCCCCAATCTCCGGGACCTCTGGCGAATAACCTGCCATTGGAACTTCTACGGCAGGAACAATGTATTGCGCCGACCTTGAAGGCGATGATGAAGCAACACTTGTCGATGGTTCAGAAATGGAAGAAGTTCGACCTCGAGTAGATCGGCGTTCCATACTTTACTACTCGATTAAACAATCACAGCAAATATACTTCTTTCCAATTCAGATAACCCAACCCGAGTGCAGCGGTGAAAAGAAACCGGCCACCGGTTGGCTGGCTCTTCCTCTGCTGAAATAAGTAGCGAAATAAAACAATTGGTATCACCAACCAGTCAAAATCAAATGCTAGAACCACAACAGTTTTACATTAGAAAGAACAGTTACCTAATTTGCGATTCCAAGTGCTAATTAATTAATTAATGAGAGAGAGAGGAGGAACTATTTGCTTCCGTGTGTTCAGAGTGGGAAATAATGGGAGCAGGAGAGCACGAGAGAGAGAGGGACGAAGAAGACTGGACTAAAAATCTGTTGGCGTCAGTTCAACCCCGTGACGAAGGGAGGCTCGACACCCGCCGACGTTCGAATCGAGAACTTCTTCCATAATCCATGGCCTCACCAAGGGGCATCCATATCCAACCCAATTAACTTGATATTTAATTAATATTTGACTAATTGTCTAATATATTTAACTAATTAATGCAAAAATTGTGATGAAAATGACACAAAATTGATGGATGACCAGTACCACTTTCAGCTGAAATTTGCGTTTGCACACTAATAAATCTCGTGGTTGAGATTTTGCATGGGATGGATATTATTTTTATAGTGTAGTCGAGATTTGCAAGTTGAGCCAGGCACACACAAGCACATCGACGTCGTATGTTATGTTATTGTAATGTGTGTAAATCGTGACAGTTCTTTGCAGATTTCGGCCGATTGTCATGTCAACTTGATCGATTTTCAGAGGTCCAAGATTTTCACAGGTTTTGAAACTTTTTCAATACGGTGCGACAATCAGGCAAGGTGAAATATAAAATGTTTCATTATTAGTATCAATCAATGTCGGTGAAAATCGTAATAATTTTTTGTTCTGTTCCCTGTTCGCGTGTAGTTTTGCTTACGACAGGTCACTGCACACTGTCGATTCTGTGGTCTTATTGCTGTCAAGATAAGTGAAATTCTGATATCGTCACTAATGGCTTCTGGTGGGGATTCACACTCACGCCCACCGGCACAAGGTTCGGGCGGACCAAGTAGCTATTTGCTGGACCCAAACTCGTCACCTCGAGTGAAAGTAATATACTATTATATATTTTTAATTAATAAAACAACTAGGTCAGTAAATATGGACAATGAGTATGATCATTAACTCTTACTGCTTACAGTCAATTTCGGTTGCACTGACTTCTTGGTGTGAGTTACACCTTTTGTGTCTAAGGGCTCATGACCTTATATCTACTGCTCATTTGAACAGACTGGAGGTAAATTTACAATCAAATAACTGATGGTTCTTGAGTCTGATAATGTAATTTATTGTTGCATAATTTGTGCAGCACATTTCTGAGGGCTTGTACCAGTTGTTTGAGACACTTCGTGCATTTGAAAAACGCTACTCGGCGATGCTCGTTCGAGTCAACCAGTACCCAGAACCAGCTCACATTGTCTTCTTCGCTAAAACATTTGTAATTTTAATTAATTCATCCATTTATGGAACATTAAAGATGTTAAATTAATTGCTGTTAATTTTGTTTAGAATGAACGAATTTTTCATGCTGGAGAAAGCATTGAAACAATGGTATGTTATTTATGCAAATTAGTATTACATTCCATGTTCAGGAATATTTACAGTTAGTTTAATTTTTATTATAGCTCTCTTCTAATTTGGCAAGAGCTGCGCAAACAAGGGCTGAGTTTCGCTTGCAATTGCAAGAATCAGAAAGATCTCTGCTAGATTATGAAGCCGAAATATATGAAAGCGTAAGAACGGGTTATCGTTTTCGTAGGTTTGATAAAAAAAATTGGGACCAATATTAGTAAACTAATTAAAGCCCTAATTTGAGGACCTTCCTAGTCATGTATGATTTTATAATAATTATGTGTTTTCACGTATAAATAGGTCGCAAGTGCAAATTTTGGTCGGTCTAAAGTCCAAAAAGTATTTCTGCCACAGCCTCATCCGTTGGAATATATTCCTCTCTCAATTCAACCATTTGTAAGTTTTATATAACTATAATTATTGCTCATAACTAGTTTTCAGTAATTTGTGTATTCAGGTTGACTCCTCAATGGGGAGATCAAGTCCGGAAAACGGCGGTGCTCTTGCCAATTCGTTAGTATTTCTTCGTAATCGTCGTCGCCAGTTGTTGTCACTGATGCAGACCTTGAATGAGAGCCGGTTTCAATCAGATTTTAGTATGCAATGAATTTAATTGTTATCGAATCAAGTTTTTACCCTTTGCTCTTTAACTAACTATTTTTGTACTTTTTTGTTCAGCCTCTCTAGATGTAAGGGATTTTCACCATGAAGTTGAACTGGTTGAATCCGAAATGGGTCTTGTAACGAATTTGCAACGGATTGTAACAACAGTACGAATGATGGAGGAAGCCAGAGGTAATATTACTCCTACTCGTACTCCACAGTCCTATTCAGAAAGTAACGTTGCTGCCCTGTTTCGAGAAACGGTGGAATTATTTCAACCAATACGCGGACCTGCCAATACTCATCAAGGGTAATTTTATTCTAGTCCAAAGTTTTGAGGGATATTAACATCAAAATGTGAATTTACTTAGACTCCCAACTGATGGACGTTCTATTGGAATTCCTTACCTTAACAATACGCTTGGAGAGGATCATAGTCGTCGCAATTTAAACGTGGATCGTAGCTTAGCTTTCAGTTCATTATCATCTGTGAATATCAATTCTAGTTCCAATCCCAATAATCATCCTCCAATCTCAAACGAATTGCCTCTTCCGCCTCCCTCGAGATTGTCGGAGCCATTGCAACATTCTTGGGTGCTCTCAGGGTTAGCACATTTGACATTAAAATTAAGTATATGTTCTCTGCATTGTTACTCAAAATACAAATGACATTCTTTGTATTTGTGTATAGTGATCGAAGCAATGACAGAGCAAGAAGCGGCGCATCCCAAGTTACTTCACGTGGTCGCTGGTTCACTACTGACCACTTATCACACTCAAACCTGAATGATCATACACCCCGACAGTCATGTCGTTGGTACTTAAAATGCAATGTTTCTAATACATGTTTATTCATCAGTAGCATAATATTACGTTAATTTTTATAATATAAGGTCTGATGGACGCCAAGAACCAGAGTACACTGCATTGGGGGAAGATTATATGACACATGAAATTCCTTCACGAAATATATTGAATTCAAGTAGCGCATTTACCAGAGTTCCAAGAAACATCAGCAACATAACGTAAGAAAAGTAGATTATATTTGATCACGTATTTAACTAAACAAAATATATTAATCATGTAGTCTATAATTTTAGGCAGAATATTCGCTCCCGTGCATCCTCCGTTGCTGAAGTATCAGACTTTAGTAGTCACCACAATAATGAAAATGAGGTAAGTTCGATATAATACAATTACTTATCTATTGTATATATGCACTAAACATTTAATATTAAATAATTACTTTTGTTTCTTTGGTTTTTGATGCAGCTTAATTTCGATACCCCGGATCAACTACTTGCTCAGACTGTTATGACTGGTTATGACCGACAAAATGTTATGCTTCAAGATATGATGACACGCGTAATCCATTTGGGAATGTCCGTACGCAACAGTGGGAGCATTGTCAATAGGAACAACTCATTGTTGACTGACTTGGTCATTGCTGTTGACGAAGTGAGTACATCACACTCTGATAAAGAAATGTGCAAAGGAATTCATTGACATACATATATATATCTTGCCAATTTCTTGTATATGCATGCAATATTTTAATACAACCTTGGTTATTCATCTTATTTATAGATTAATCGAAACGTTGCCAGAATTCAAGAGGACGTAGCAATTTTGAAATCCAATTCAAATACTCAAGCTGCATTTGGTCCAGACCATTATTCTGCTCACATTCCTACCAGAAACAGATCAGATGACAACTGGAGAAATATTGATTCTCAGGGGCAGAATGAAAGGTCTACGCTAAACATGTTGAACCATCGCTCCTGGGAGTCGTCCCGTAGTTCTGCTTTGCCACGTGGTGAAAATTCTGCTTTTAGGGCGAATATGGTAGATATGACGATGCCACACGAACCGCTCTCTCATTCTCGGTATCCATTGTCTGCTGCTGCTATGGAAAGAAGAAGAGAGATCACGTCTGCAACTGCACCCCCACCGAATAGTGAACAATATGAAACTCCAACAAACAGTTCTAACTGTCACATGCTGAATAACCAAATTCCACCAGGAAATCGAGCAAATAATTACTGGGATAACTTTAAAAGGTTAATATTACGTTATATTGACAGTGTTATGCTACATATAGTGACTACTAGTTGTTGCAATTGTCAAAATTATGCATAATATTTTGCAGCTACTCTCGACTGAATTTACTGTCGGACTCTAAAACAAATATCCCTGGATTGTCACCTTGTGGAGGGTTGGAGGACCAACTTGCTAATGCATTAACTGAGGATCTATTCCAGGCGTCGTCCCCTTCAGTCCGCAGAGATTCACGGTCAGTTTGCTTGCTCCTCATTATTGAACTTGCAAATAAATTGAAGTCAATCAACTAGACATGTTATTTAATACTATTTATTTATTGATATTACTTGATACTACTATTGTTTTTTTTGCTAATAGTGGGGATCGGTCACAGGGGTCTTCCACAATTCGGTCGTCCTTATCGGCAAATTTTGTTGAAAATATTGGCCAGAAGAAGCGAAACAAAGATCAGAAGAAACAGTTTTCAGCATTAACTTCTGGCAGTCCCCTTCACTCGTCATCTTCAAACAGTAGTGCAGCAGGATCTCTAAATGATCTCATAGTTAGAAGTCGCTCAAGGTAAATATATATATATATATATTACTGATGTGTTTAATGACGTACGAGTCAGTAGAGTTAATGAATCTGTCTAATAAATGATTGCTGAACATGTTAATTTTCAGTAACGTGGAGTCACATGATCGTATTCTCGGTTCGTCTAGTAGAGAGCCTGCTGAAAATCGAGTTTTTTCACCATCTCACGGTACCAGGATTTCGTCTTCATCTGGTGGCGGTGGGGTCGAACGTCCGCTAGATTCGGATGGAGATCGGAGAAATACAAACGTACATGGTCATGTCATGTCTCCCCCCTCGTCTCTAGAAGTAGATTTGGTGTCACGGGATGAGTTTCTACAACTGAATAGTGGAGCTGGGTCATCTGCTAGTGGAAACGGAAAAAGTGACGATGGCGGTGGAGCAAGTAGTTCGTCATCAAAGAAGGAACTGGAGAAGCTATTGGGAACGTCTGATAATGAAGAATTTCATGTGCATAGAGCCTCGGGAGACCATGGATCGTGGCCCTTATTTGATGCTAGCGAAATTCAGAATGATAACGCTGCAGCAGCAGCAAAACCAGAACCAGATTGGCTTTGGCCTGATGGAGAAGTTCCTGAATCCTCGCATAACGCTGATCAAACTAGCGTCAAAAAATCATCCCGAGAAATGGATAGAAATGAGTAGCTGGCAGCGTAGTTTTTTATTCTATTATATTGTGTGAATCTCATTCAGACTTTACATCAGGAACTAAATCAAAAAAAAACTACAACCGTTCTAGTTTTTGCAAAATTATATGTTTCCACTCATCGAGTAATTTATAATGTCATTTTATATTTTATTAAATTTTGTTGAAAATGGATCTTAACTCTGTACTTGTTATTTATTTAAAAAAATAAGGTTCATCCCCAAATTTTTGTTTGTTTTTATGCTCATGGCGCAGGGATTTGTAGGAATGATCTCCATTGTTCTGACGTGGCAAAATTATAGCATGAGTTTGACCTTTGTATACAATTACTTTTGGGTTTTAGGAACATCACAGGCAATTTTTTTTATTCGTTCAATTTTGTATCTTTTGGTTAAACATATATGCAGAGTTATAACAAGATGGTAATGGTAAAATGCTTCGTTTATTATTAAGTAAGAGATGAATCATCGTCGGCGCGTCCCTCCAAATCCTGACGCCGTACGTGTCCCACTACTCGTCGAAGCGCTCGAATAGCCACTTGACCCACCAGAACCTCCCCAACTGCGCCCCGCTCCTCCTCCGAATCCTCCAAATGAAGTCGACGGTCCTGGTTGATTGTACATGGTGTTGTACCCGGTGTTGCTAAAATAAGAATACCCGACATGTGAAAAATTGCTAACAACTTGATTTGCAACCACTTCATTATTTAGTAGTACAACTATTACATAATTGAGTAGTTGAACATAAGAAATATTGATGAAACTTACTTTCTATTTCCAAACAAATATCCTAAAAGTCCTCCAGTAGCAGCTCCTGTCCAAAATCCTCCTCCAGCCGGACCTTGACTTTGTCTCGCGGATCCACCTGAACAAGAATCCGAAAAGCCAGTTCCGGTATTGGGATAGTAAGATGGATTAAATCCAGGCGGTGGTGGCCTTGTACCCGGTCCGCCTCGATTATCAGGGTAATCATCGTTGGTTGGACTGAAACAATAAACGATGTTCATTCATTGTTTAAGTAAATGTATAAATCCCCACATAAATATAATTAACTTAATATGTACATCCATCTCTACCTGTATTGTCGGTTTGGTGAAGGAGCAATGCAAGTTTTGTAAAAGGCATAGATCATGATAACCAAAACGACCCCGCAGACAATGTTGGTGATCGAGTTGCTTTTTTTAGAATATGGTGGAACATTCCAACCGTAACTCCCACTTCCCCCGCCGCCGCCGCCACCACCACCATAGTAGTTGTGGTATTGCTGTTGCTGACCGTGAGCCATCCCTTCCTTGGTCAAATCCATTGTATATTCCAACTACGAAACGACAAATGTTAAATAATGGAAAATCCATGAAACTTTATTACTTAGAAAGAAACATGAATTTGGCTTACACCACAAGACCCTTTAAGAACGTATGGGTCATCTGGGTAGTCGTATCCTTCACATGTGACTTCCACTCGTCCGAAACGGTAGGCATTGTCCATATCCGTTTTACACTCCCACTACAAAAGTACAGAGTCGCACTTTTAGTCAGTCACAGGCATAATTTTCATTAATTACAATATGTAGCAATAAAATCAGTAACAGCAACTCACTTGGACATCGAAACCATCCGACCCTCGGTTATAACACTGAACAACCTGTGGCGTAAAAGCTCCACACCCCGCAGTACCCCCCACACATTTTAACTGCTCCACCCCTGGCGACCTCCGACCCTTCGTCCAGTGGCCATGCCGTAACGTCAAGACTTCAATATCCTTCAACTTGACTTTGTCATCTTCATCAACACGAGAAAATTTAGTTTAGTCAATCAAATCGTTCCTCCACACATAAATAATTTAAAACTTGTGATTCTAACCAAATTATATAACTTACCTCCAAAACCCCACGATGCTTCCACGAACAATGGAGAAAACACTGCAAGGACAGCGAACAAAACGATTGTCGCTGACCACTTCATTTCCAAGTGCGACTGTGCGACACAATTACGTTCTTACAAGAATAGGACCAACAAATTTGATCTCAATTCAATAAAATTAATTATCCAATATATCCATTAAATAAATAAATAGCGCAGCAATTATTGCGTGCCGAGAGAGATCAATTTGCGATTTGTTCAAGTTAATACTTGACCGATCGATGTGCTAAGACTGACTGCCGATGAAAGAATATTGGTTGAGATGAGAAGGCAAAACCATAACAAATAGTAGATTTGCCAGTTGCCACGTGAGGATAACAAACCCAACTCGGTGACGTCAAATAGTGAGATGCTCGACTATAATCTACGTGTGCTTTCTCTCATTGTTCACTCACGGAGTTGGATGTGCGTAAGCAATTTTTCATGACTGTTCAGATTTTAAGACGTGAAATTAGGTGTCCTTTTTATACTCATTTTATACTAATGCATATGTAGATATGTCATTTGTCTTCAGAAAATTCATAGTTTTGCAAAAAATGAGACATTTTTTCATACAATTTTTTCACAATTGAATAGGTAATTTTATTTCAGGTTTTCATGTTGATTGTGAGTACATTCATTACAATAAAAGAGGATAATATCTAATTAATTAATAACAATAAGTTGCTTATTAATTAGGGAAATGGGTTTTTCATAGTTTGGTATAGCGATCATCATACATGGGTTAAGCAGGCATTAAAAATAAGTATTCATTTTTTCGTAGATAAGAATCCTCATGTCGAAAAGGTTTGCCTGCCTAAATATCGTTAATATTATATAATAACTGTCAACTGTTACTTTAAGGTGATGAGGGGAAAGATGTGTACGTGCAGATGGGGTTTAAATGACTGATCATATTGTAACCTAACCTATTTAATTTCATAGCTTAAACACCGTATATGTATTTCTCAAAAGGGTGTGTTTACGTGGAAATTTACGTTTACAGAAATATCAGAAACTGGTTTTTTAATAACGAGTAGTAATTATCATTACATAACTAATGGCAATGCGGGAAGAGACGTTCTTTAACTATATATTTAGTATCCACTTATGATAGCGTTGTTCTTAATAGATTCTTAGCGTATAAAAATTTACATATGTAAATGTAAATATTTACGTAACGTATTTAATACAGACTGACAGTTTTTACAAAATTGAACATCGTCTAATCTTTTTACATTGTTATATACACTTGGACTATGAACTATGTATAGAATCATTATACAATAATAACAAACTATTCATGGGGTAAATGTCGAATGAAAGGTTTTAATTATAGATCGTTGCATGTTATGTGTAGTCCTATTTATCAATATAATCTGTCACCGTCATAATTGTATGATGACCGAATGAGCTCCCCTTCTTCTTGGAATGTGGACAATTCGATTGAACAAATCAAAGCCGTTATAAATCGTCGTCGGCTATAGGTTTGAAAAATTTGGGCGGACTTAACATTTCATCCAGTGATTATTTACACTATTACATAAAGTAAGTGGTATTTTATATTTAAGATACGCTAATTATTGCTTCATATCAAATCCTCCCTTCCGAACTTCCTCAGCGAGTGACTATAAATCATTTTTTGAAGCATAATATTATGTATAAAAAATCGTCCGTCCCCGTAAAACGTAAGTACAAAAATTATTCAAGGTTTTACATAACAATCTCAATGTGTGATGTACTTATTATTGACGCGATGCCTTATGAATTGTTACACATCTGGGTCAAAACTATAAATACTTTCGATGATTGACTGCATTTATTATGATGTCAACGTTCAATAATAAAATCCTTACTTATTTTTTAAATAACTATTTACATACATCTTTCCGTAGAGATTTACAAACATCACAGACGATAAATGTTTTTTTTACTCATTAATTTTCCTTTTCACGCACTGGTTAAAATGATTACAAGAAAATGGACATGAAAATCTGTCCTGACGTTTAATTATGGAATAAAATAGGTGCCGATTTTAGGGGAGAGAAAGAAATTAGGTATTAATCAGAGCAAACACTAATTATAACTCAACTTTAATTTTAAAGCATACCAGCATAATTATCCGTGCAATAAGACTATTTAAAAAGTACAACTAATTAAATTAACACCATTATTAAAACAATTAAAAACCCTAAACAAATTCTCTCTATATATGGCACTCTGCATTTGAAATTTGAAACATTGAATTAAATTTGCTGATTTGTTTCAGATAAATCTAATGCGACTAGAACATAAGCTTTCGAAAGCCTGAAACGCCTCGTCCCAACCCAAATATGTAATGTAATTCAAATATCACTGAAGGATTATTAATTGCTGGAGTTGAATTTCAAAATTAGCATATTTAGCGTAATTCAGAGGACGAACGAGCGAAGGGAACCAAGTGTCATATATATTTATCAAATTGTCAACCTGGGGATGATACCCTGTACGTAAGCAAACCTTCTTTCCTTTTTTTGCTACTAGATTTGTTCTTACAAGAGTCTTACAATTTGTAAAACTAATTTTGCGTTGTAAATAGCTTCTCAATTATCTCGTCACAATTACCACACACGCTAATATAAAAATCCATAAATTCTGCACCACTGGTCATGATGTAAAGTACAAAAAATGTATAATAAATATTGTTAAGTACGAAACGGGGCGGTAGCACACTTTCTATGTATATTTTATGTATTTTAAAGTCCTTAACAATGGCGCAACCGAGTCCTATAATAAGGATCGTGAATTTGGCGGACGTCTTTTCGTACTTTTTCTCCTCTTTCGCCTCGCGTCTTTTTGGAAGATGACGTTGCTGGGGTCATCGGCGAGGTGGGGGTATTTGTGTATGCTGAATAGGTCGGAGGGTCGGTAGCCATGGACGAGGCCCTTGTTGACGAGTTGGTCCTTCTCCTCGTCCGTCCAAGGGCGTCGACCGTCCAGGCCGAGCGATATGTAGTGCTTTTCCTCCTCCCAGGCACGCTCGATGGCTCGGCGGTGGGCGTGCTTAAGCAGCCGACCCCGCTCCTCCTCCTCGTCCGTCCCGTACCGCACGGAAATGCTAGTATCCCCACCCCACAGTCTTAACTCCTGAGAAAGAAAACATTGTCATAGTTAGCAGACTAGTAGAAGTCGTAATTTGGACATTTTATAACTAACTCTATATTTATATAACAATTTGTATGCATAATGAGTAGCTTACTTTGATGCCATTTTCAACATCATGCACAGAAGTGTTGAAGAGACCCCCAAGCCTTTTGAGCTCCTCCAAGTCGTCCCTCAGCTTGTGTGGATTGTCTTTTACAAAATAGAAGCTATTTTGATGAGTGGACCGGAACTCGATGAAAATTGATGCTGAAAAAAAATCAATATTATTAGAAATGCTTACTATGTAGATATGTATGTACATACATTGTTCTACGCATTGTATTAATAGAATTACATGCAAATTGCTTACCATTTAAGACGGACGTTATCACTCCTTGAACAACTGAGTTATCTACTGTGCTCACCTAAATAAAAGAGAAGATATGTTTTAATTTGACTATTAATTTATTAGATAATAATTATTTCTTATTAATTTGATTATCTATTACGAACCAAGGCTCTCCCATTTTCTGATCTGGACACCAATAAACCTGGACCAAACCCACTTCGTTTATAGGCAATGCGAGGAATCAAGTTCCAAGAAAAGACTCGCTCCGGACTTAGTTTGGATTCACGGCTAAATCCAACATTTTTGAAGCTGGATGACGTCGTTTGTCCCATGCAGTGGAGACCGGAAACTACGCCAAAGTCTGGATTCAAGTTGTTGGCATCGTTGGAGTCAATTAGTGCTCCAGTTATGGGAGGCTTAGCATATTCCTTTCCGAAGATTTGGTTCATATCGAAGCCAAAAAGTCGGAGCCAAGAGTCCAGAGTAGTCATACGACTAGCGACTTGCCACAGTTTCGGGGTAATTGGATCGTTATCGGCAAATCTGTAGGTGAAAATATCCGTGGGCTTGTGGAAACTGGACGTGAGTGCTTGCCAACGAGGAACCATCCATTGTCCAATTGTTGGATCGTATGCTCTCCCGTTAATGATAATTATCCCGGTATGTTTATCCACAATTCCTCTGTGAAAGTCAATCGGGAGGTAAAAGTCGGGGGCTGTGTCTCTAATCACTTTTCCAAAGGGAGAACGATGCGTTTCTTTGACGAGGTTGCCATCCGGTGTAAACACAGAAAGGGGTGAACCATTCTGATCCGTTGCGACATAAAAGCGATGCGATTTCGAGGTGACCATCGACACCAAGTGATTATTCTGGTCGTGAACAAAGAGGAGGTTGAACCCAGTGACGGGATAGTGGACATGTGTAAGGAGTTGAGGATGCTGTGGGTCTGCATAAATGAACTGGGTGACATTTCCCTTGTCATCCTTCCAAGAGATGAGACGATCCAAGTGATCGTAAAAGAACCAAACTTTGTAGTCATCTTTCTTCACGGCGTGGATAAGATGACCTTTGTCGTCATATTGGAATTTTTCCGCCCCACGTTGAACTAGGAATCCACGAGCGTCGTACGTGTATCGGAGAAGTTCGCCTACTTGGATTACACGGTCCCCTGAGTCGTAAATTAGAGAGGACTTTTCTCCCTGCTCCATCACTTGAATTCCATTCCCATTCTCGTCATACGAGTATTTCCAGTGTCCTGATCCTTTAACTTCAGAAACGTGTCCGTCCTCATCATACATTACATTGTCGGCGTAAACTGATCCTCGGACGTCAAGGTTGAACTTGCGATGTTTCAATTTGCCCCTGGCATCATATTGCATGCTCATTTTGTACACTTCTGCCCCCTTGATAATGATGCTCTGTTCCTTGAGACGGCCTACAGCGTCTCGGTCCGATGTTAAGACAAATAACTTGGAAGAATCTTCCACAATGGTGCGATTAAATTGGAGCGGAGTTCCGAAAATTTTGAGATCACCGATAGACTCCAAACTACCCGTATTTTGATTCCGTTTTACGCTATAAGTCTGAATTTGTTTCCCATTTACTTCCGTCTCAACAGAACTGACTCGACCATTCCCATCATATTGGAATTTGAGATGGACATTATCCAAACCACTCTTGGTTGCGAATTTTTCTCGTTGCTCCTTCAAAATTCCTCCGTGATATTTATATTCCGTTTTCAATTCAAATGCAGATTGAGCCACTTCTGCAACTTTCATGAGACCTGTATTTTCTTGATAATTGAATCGGGTAGAGCGGAGTCCGGCCACACAAATTTCCAATTTTCCTAATCGATTGTAAACCAAGTTAACCCGGCCGGATCCTTGGGGATAGACGATGCTCACAACTTCGCCATTATCGTTGTATTGGATTTTGTACATTTCACGACTGCTCGGGGCTCGATATTGATATTCGTACACGCCAATGGAGGTGGAAAGACCGAAGCTATGAATGTGTCCTCTAGGAGTTGTCAATGACTGGAATGCCCCAGCGTTGTCGTACTCTAACAGATAGTCGCTTCCACCAGCAGTTGTCATTTTCATGGGCTGCAAAAAATCACACAAATACAAATGTTAGAGCATACGTCAAGTTATATTTATAGCAAATTTATGCAATTTATTTAATTTATTGCATTGAAAAGAACAACGAAGTTTTTAGCGTTCTTTGTCAAAAGTCAAAATTGTCTTACCAGAGTAGCAATGAGGTCTTTGAACGTTAACGATAGTGAGGTTCCATCAGCATAACTAATCTTGGACAATCGCCCTGCCCTGTCATATTCATAAGTTTCCATTAACTGATCCCATTTCCAGCCCACTAATCGTCCGAAACGGTCATGCTCCACTTCCACCGATGCAAATCCACCCCTGAAAAAATCGGACATAAAAGATTTCACATAACATTCATCATCTTATTGTCATTTAATTTCGACAGTTCTTAAAAAATGAAAAAAAATGGGAATGACTGCTTGTCAACCTACCTTGGAATCCATTTGAGTGGACGGCCAGTTTTATCATAGGTGACATTAAGGATGACATTTCTATCGTCGATTACGATGAGTTCAGATTTTGATTCCCTGTTGTACTCGAGCATGAGCACATTGTCTCCATTTATTCGTAATTTCTTATCAATCTGAACAATCTGCTTGTTTTTGCCTCGACCTTCCTTTCTTGCAACGTATCTCCATTCGACTCGGTTCATCAGATCGCCACCAAGTTCCGTCTTTTGTTTTCCTAAATATAGAAATATAGATATATTGCATAAAAGTGTTCCATACTACATATTTTATTTAATAACAGTGAGTACTTACCGGGAACAGGGAAGCTATCGGATAGGGCAGGATTGATTTCACCCAGCAAATTGTAGGGGACAGATTCTGTCGTGACTACTTGGCCCCAGGGCTCTTGTAGGACAACATTAGTGTCCTGAACTGAGGTCATTTGTTCCCATTTTCCAATCCTCTTTGTAACTGAGAATCCTTTAATGAAATAAATTTCTGGTGCATTTTGATCTTTTGTGACACGTACGGACGCTCCCTTTTTGCTCAGGTCGAAATTGAGGTTGACCACTTGTCCGGTGGGACTAACAGTTTGTGTGAGTCGACCAAATTCATCGTACGAGTATACGCTGGCACGACCAGACGAATCCTGTCGAGCTTTGATAAGTCCAGTAGACCCGTGGTAATCGAATGTATAATTGTATCCTTCTGGAGAAGAAAACTCTTGAAGCATTCGTACCCTGGACATTCGAAGGTTAAATTTCTGAGCTTGCGCATTCTCAATTGTTTTCACTTGGGATGAATAATCTCGAAGAATTTGAATCTTGTTTCCAGCCGAATCCGTGACACTGCTCAATTTTCCGTTTGACATGTTGACATTATACAGAAAAGTGTAAATGGTTTCTCCAGTGACGATATTTTTTGTAGATATGTGTTGTCCAAATCTGTTAAAGATGTAAATTTCCTGCGTCTCGGGTGAGTATATTTCGTACTGTCGGGATTCTCCGATACTGGGTTGAGGAATTAAGGCCATGACAGACCTCACGCGATAGTTGCCTTGATCTGCAATGTGCAGCACTCCATCAGGGGCCATCGCTATTGCACTGATGGTGTTAAATTTGGACGTGGAGGCGAGATAGTGGTCATCTTCGTAGCAAATACATCCTCGATCCAGGCAATTGCATTTCGACTCAGCTCCAGCAAAGTGTCGAACCTTCCCATCCGTTGTAATCATTCGCACCCGATTGATTCGCTGAGAGTCAGACTCTGCAACAAAGAGATCACCATTCGACGCAAATGTGATTGATTGTGGACTGATCAATGCGGTGTGAATTGCGAGATCTGCATCGTATCCTCCAAGTGGGATTGGACAGTGAAATGGACGCCCCGCAATGATCCGTAATCTGTTGTCCCTTGTCAGCATCAGAATCATGTGGTCATCAATAATGTAGAGGGAATTATCCACTGGGTTCACTCCGAGTTCTGTGGGCCAGCGCAAGTGAACTTCCTCTACTTTTAATGTCCCTTCACAAGGAATCGGCTTCCAGTGAGCTTTCTGTTGATGATTCCCTATCACGGTGGTAATTATCCCATCCCGGTCCACCTTTCTAATGTTGGTTCCATCCGCAAAAAATAGGACATTGTCAGAAGAGACAGCAACTCCTTTTGGATATGCAAGTTTTGCATCTCTGGCCAATGCTTCGTCGCCACAATGAGCTTCGTCCCCGGGAAGACAGCGTTCACCAGATCCAACGACGGGCTCCCAATTGTGTTCCGGATCAGAGAAATCTTCAACATTTCGAACGCGGATTATTTGATGAGATTCAGGGTCGGAAATGTATAGTGTATTATCAACAGGACTTAAAGCCATGTGGTAACGGTAGGAAACTCTGGTAGCACTGAAAAATTTAAACCATTATTATTAAAAGTTCACAATTCATAATTTATGTAAATATGATTTCCAATTCTTAGTACATAAATCAAATAATAATTCATTCCAATCGCTTACTTTAGCTTAACAATGGTGTGAACCGTTCCGTCGACAAGGATGCGTCTAATGAGGTTAAAGTCTCCAACAAATAGCGTTCCATCCGATGCAGTCGCCAGAGCCACTGGGGCCAACAATTTCTGTTTACTAGCCACCCCATTACAATCTGCATGACAGTCTAATGCTCTCTGGTGTCCATTTCCCATAATCGGCATAATAATTCTGGGTCGGTGTTTCAGATAAATATTTGACCCATCGCCCTTCTGAATAATCCCCTCATGGAAATTGTACCGGTGATGAACGTCCAAATTCCATCCTCCGATATCGCTTATCCCCATGTCATGTCCGCTCAATGTGGTACTCTGAACATCCCAAATCACTTGTCCACAATTTTCATACTCAAATCCGACCTTTACGACGGCTGTGGTCACTCCGTATACTCGTTGCCTGTACACGTTAAGCCTGTTCCACGCATAAGTGAATTTTATTCCGGGATCTGCTTCGAACGTCTTTTCAAACAGAACTCCTTCAATCGTTATTCTCAAATGAATTCGCTTCAAGGCCGTCGTCACCGTTTCTGGGGTCAATTGAAGCTGAATCGTGGAGAGGTAACCTGTACCTCGAGAGCTGTGATACATGAGGTAAATTCCTGATCCTGGGATCTTAATGCTCTCCTGAACAACTTGAGACTCGATGAGGATTGCACTCGTGCCAGGACAATTCCCTTGAAATCCATGCTTCCAAGTTGCCAGTACCACGGGTCGCATGCCTTCGTAGTCATGCGCTTCACATGACTGAGTGGGGACGAGGACTGGGTCGGAAGTGGTTGACCCCATGATCACCGTGTCCATGATAACCACCTCATTCCAGGGGACGAAAATAGTGCGAGACAGGGAGTTAAAAGGACTTCGGCCAAACTGCAGAGTGACGGCTCCACCCCCATTCACCATGAGATCGAACCAACCATCCTCCTGAGTGAGGGTGAAACCTCCGAGCGGTTCCAAAGGTGAGCTGCTTGACACGCGGACACCCATAAGACCACTTCCGTTCGGGGTGACCACGCGGCCTCGAACCACGCCACTTCGACTGTAAATTGAACATATTGTATTTAAGCATGGTGATCATTATTTAATAAATTGTAATTACGTTTATTAAGTTATGACAGGAAATAGCAACAAAACTTTTCCACCACACGACGTACTAAATATGACCACGCTTGTGTTGTGGAAGTTCACCAAAGTCGAAGCAAACATAATGAAGAACGTTGGGCATAATAATAAATAATTCTGGGTGGAAAGAAAACGAAGAAGAAGAAGAGGTTCAACTAATAAAGTGTTTGACTCATGAATAACTTAGTAAGAGATGGGAAAGGGTTAGTTAAGTAGTCGTCGTTGTGGTTGTTATATGGGGACGATAGGAGGACGGACTGACACAGAGGACACTGGATAATTGACGGATAACGTTTGAATGAAGAAAAACGCACAGAGAATGTAAGGACGGACACGACAAGTTAACAACAACAAGAACAAGACAGACTGACGATATAACTTACCTCTTGTTGAAATGGCTCCAAAACACACTTGGAATTCAATGAAGCAGCACAAAAAGACAGATTGAAAAGCACAGTTAGCCAAGACTAACCGGAGTACACATTTGAGAGTGGGTTTGATCTCACTCCACATATAGGTAAGTAAGGAGGAAACAAGTACAAAGACAGGGGCACAGTTAGTTTGGTTCATTATTAATTAATCGGGGTTCGATAAAGTATGTCAACTTTTATACAACAACTGGAACAATATTTATAAAAAATGTACAGAATGGGAATCCAATCTCCAAAAATTCTATATATTATGTACACAGTACGCAACTGGTTATTCGATCTTTTTTTTCATCCTCTCTTAATATACCCACGGATCCAAATACCAATAAATTTCTCGCATACCTGCCGTTAAAAGCGTCCTGCCGAGCATAGCTTTGCAAACTTCCTTCTTCGATGAGAAATTTCATCTTTTCGAAAAAGGATGCCGTTATTGCAGGAGGTTGCTTCCGGAGAAGAATGTCGGTCGGTTTTTTGGCAGCTGTAACAAAGTAAAAAAAAAGTCAATTTGGGCATACAAAAATCGTTACCCAAAAAATCGAAACCCCGAATACATAAACTATAATTGCGTTTGGTAAGATATTCTGGGAGAGTCGAGTTGTAAAAACAAAGAAAAGTTGGAAATTTCAGTTTTCTACGAAATAATACATACGCAATTGTTTGTCATACAAAACGTATGGCTAGTTTTTCTTGGCGAGTGAGTGCCACTAGCAATACGAGTATGAATTTCGATATGCTTTCACTTTCACGGGGTTTATAGGTTGATTTATATGCTTTACGATTTTATATTTCTACCAAAATAAAAAATTCTCACTTACCGACACAAAGTTGAGACTTGTCACATCTAAGGATAATTAACAATAAATTAGTATTAGATTTACATTTAATATTTGAATATGAGATATTCAATGACAACTTATATGGTGACAACTTATAGCTTCTTTTTGAAGTCCAATTAAATGCTTTAAAACTTAACACTTGATGCTACTTACTGTGCTGTTCCGCAACATTCTGGATCTTCACAGTCAGTTAGTCCATCTATAAGTGAGAGCAATTAAGTAGTAAAACCCACAAAGTAGGAATGTAAATTAAACATCAAGAATGCCATGCGATAATAGCATTAAAAATAGAATGGTGCGTGCTGAGTTGACTTGTTTTTTTGTTACCTTTGTCATTATCCTTTCCATCATTACAATTTTGTTCCATCATGACGGCACATTCAGATCCAGCCCATCCAGAATGACACTTGCATTCCCAAAGGCCGTCCATGTTGGCTTTACATTGACCGTGACCACTGCAACTGTTGGGACAGAACAAGTAATTTGTTTCTCAATAAATTCGTCCATCCTAACTTGATTCAAGAAGAATTACAAACAAGTAAGGGCAATTTTTCGTGAAATACTTTTAGGGGTAATATGGGGCGGGGGAAGGTTTGATTTGAGAGACCGGTTAAAAAATTCACATAATTTTGTATTCCCTCTTCTCTCATGTCACGTCATAATAAGTGATAATGACTATTTCTATATAGTTTCAAGATAGATTTCAATGTAACCGAGGGTGTGAAACGAGGAGAGAAGAGGAAATCAAAAGAAATCAAGAAAGATGGCAGACGGGGAGAGCGTGTTACTGGTGAAGGAGGAGAAGATAAGGCTGAAGGTAGACGATTTCCCTTTTTTCAACAGCTAAATAGTTGACAAGTGCCTACTGTTTATGTAGTACTATGTATGTAGTAGTACTAATAATAATAAAACTTTTGTATTGTAGCGGAAGACGTCTCGCCGGACATTGACTCATTGAGTCTTTTTGGTCCCGTTCAGCCTAATCGACAAAACATTGTCACCCGAGGACCGCCACCGGCATTTTGTAAAATAAAGATGAAACGGGAGGGAGCACCCAGTGGAGGGGGGTCTGTCGAGGAAGTTAAGGCTGCCTTTTACCTGTTGGCCAGACCAATCGAGTGTGAAAGAGCAGGTTTGGTCAACTTCATTAATGCCAAACCCCCTAATTAGTATGCCACTCACCTCCATCATCTCTTACAAACAAGAGACAATGTTGCAAACCAGCTTCGTCACAACCTCATCTGAGATATCTCTATTCAGCGTGGCCAACCGGTTCATAATCGGTCAACACATAGGTATCAATTAGGTATTGCTAGGATATATAAGCGAAAGCGCAGCCACCAGACGGGGGACGGTGGAGGACGGGTCGAGGAAGTATTTTGTGCTACTGCATCTTACCTCTCCCAATATTATTGGGAGAGGCCGAGTTCTGCCTGTTATACAAGTAATCAATAAAACCTCTATAAGAAAAGTGCAACAGAGTCTCATCTCGCCTCCCAATTATTACACACACACCACAACGACGACGACGATCGTCTCATCTTCCTCATCACCACCATCAATGCAGTCAACCCCCCATAAACGGAACTTCACACGAGATGGAAGTAGATCCCCATGATTATATATATAGCCAACCAGAAATTGCATCACAATCAACACCACCAATTGTTCCACAACCCGAGTTGTATTTCCTTTCAAAAGAAGAGCGAGCCTTTGCCATTGGCGAAATTATAGCTGCAGGAGAAGAGGGGAAAGATATTGGAGATACGGGGATAAAATTTATTTGGAAAGAGAAGTGTGGAGTTGGATTTGGGCAAAAGGAAAGGGTTTCAGACCAGATGCACTTAAAAGTTGGCCGTCATTGTCGACCAATATGCACTCATATTGGTCCACAGTGTGAAGGTAAACATATTTAGTTCACATATTTTTAGCAAATCACGTTAATTATTCTATGCATTACTATTTGTTCCTCCCTTACAGATTGTTTTTCTACGACTGGAACAAGGACAAGTGAAATGGAGCCGAAGTGTTTCATGCACAAGGGACCCAACGTTGGCTATTCCGTTTATGAGTTCAAAAAGAAGGAGGCAGAAGTTACGGAAATTGGGCATATGATAATCAGCTACAATTACGCCAGCAATAAAAAAATTGACCACTTGACAGAAGCCTTCAGTTCCAGGCTAAAACCGAAAGGGACTGCAGGACAACCCGAACTTTTTGATAATTGTGATGATGCTGAGAAGAGGTTTGCCGTCTTGCAGACGGTGTCTATGTTGAAATGCTTATCGGACCCTACTAAATTCAAATATATCACACCATCCGTATCATTGGCAAATGGCCTCGAGGCGGAAGTGCAGGCAGAGATGGAGAAACAAAGATTTACACTTCAGATCACAGGAATCAATAATTCTAAGTCTGCGAATGCAAAAATCCCGTTCCCCTTTGGTAGGCGAGCTGCACCAGGAGAGAAATTGACTGATTTGTTGGATGACGATAATGGAGCCCTTTACATCAAGTGTGACGAGAAGATGTTTTATGGTGGGCAGACAGTGAGCGGAAAAGATTCACATGATATCGTACGAAATCCTACCGACACGGTTGCCCAGTATGAGAACGAGTATGGAACCGGAAATTTAGTAAAGATTCCATTGTGTGCAATTCCAATATCCAACAAAGTAAAGACAAAGACAGAGGATAAGGCAACCTCATCTACGCGAAAGAAGGAAGAAGATCCTCTCAAGAAAGTAGAAGCTCATCTTCAAATTTGTCTTTATATTGCGTATCTCTTCCGCCTACGAAATCCTTTTCACCCAACTTTTGCCAAAACCCATCCCTACTGCCTGAACAAGGAGGTGATTTCTTCTTATATCGATGATAACTCGTGGGAGAAAATTGTTTTGTTTTTGAAGAGAGAGTTTGGCTGCAAATTTGAGTTTATTAAATTGTAACTCTTTTGTATTAAATATTTAATCTACATTTCTTAATAAACCTTGATACTGATCAAATACTAACGCTCTGTTACGGCCAAACGATACGCTTTCAAATAACCAATATCTCACCTGTTGGGACAACCTTCCAACGTGCAGTGCTTCCCATTGTACCCAGACACGCACAGACAGATTCCTTACAAAACAAAAATAAATCAGTTTCACAACTTGTCATCTCGTACAAAAGTGAAAAGACCTATTTTTAGCTGTATATTTTCCACATGTTTTATGCGTAACTCACCATTTTTGCATTGACCGTGTTCAGCACAGCTAAAAACAGTCCAAAAACATAGTTTTAATAATGATAAAATAATATCGTACACAATTCCATCCAAGTATTACTAGATAACTATTTGTCTCATGAAATGCAATTGTTTTGGACATTCTAATGACTGGGAAGCAAAGTGTAAACGACTCATTACCGTTTGTCGCAGAGGCGTTGATTGCACAATGGTCCTGCCCATCCTTCCGAACACTTGCAGCCGGTTCCAATGCACACTCCATTAGGACCACAATTTATGTCACAAAGTTCTACACAACAATAGTTAAATACTCGTTAGTTTTTGCATCAAACTTTCTCCAGCGAGGGAGAGAAAGTATTTTCGGAGGGAAAGTAGACGTAGTATTGGTGAAAGTTATCTGACCTTGCGAACAGTCCTCCCCAGTCCATTTGGGTTGACAGGTGCACGTCTGTGACTCGAGGTTGAACTCGCCATGGGAAGAGCAGTCTATAATTTCGTATGAATGCATTGAGATCATTGACTACAGCCATTCATTTCCACTCAAATATGTATGTGCTGCTCAAGTAATGAACACGCAATTTTAGAGTATTTATCGAAATTAAGGGTCCAACCTTGCAGAATGTTGATAAACAAAGCTAGTTTATCTCTAATACGAAACTCCCACTTGTTAACTACATTCACGGAGGTGATTTACTCGTGGAAATTAATTTTAAAGAATACTTTTAACCATTTTTAACAAAAACGAGGGTGCTACTTCTGGCTTGACATATTTTCTTAAACTTTGCGTATTTTTCAGTAACACGAACTATGCAAAATAACTTACCCGGAAGACATTGAAGGGCTTCTTTGTCGGTTGAAGCGCAGTCCACCCCTCGCCACCCCTTCTTGCACATGCAGGTCCCATTGACACAGAGACCATGTCCGTTGCACGAGGGATGAGGACAGTCCACTGCAATGCCAGTCAAATAAGCCATTTATTACTGTGTACTCCCCAGTCTCAGCTTAATTGTGGAGATTAAAGACTTGAAAAGTCCATTCCAGAGAAATCTCTCATGATGATGATGATGAAAGAAGTGTTACTACGAGAAACTGATTCTCTATTCTACCTGCTTTTCAAATAAGAGAATGATTGAAATGAATTAAATGAGAATTGGGCGTGGGAAATGCGGCATCTGATGCTTTCTCTCGAAGAGAGAGAGAGGCGTGTGCCAGTCAGGAATCTCTTACAACAGTGTCCATCGCCCCTTGTAAATCCTAGACTCACTGAATTGTGGCTAATCCACGTGGGAAACGTTGTACTCATTAACTTGTAATGGAGAAACTCACTCATTTTGTACGAGTGAAATTAACATCTAACCAGTTCGGACTTGAAGGGCGACAATCTTACCTTGCTCGCAGAATTCTCCCTTAAATTTTGGGTTGCATTGGCAGTGACCATTCACACATTTGCCATGACCGTGACAGTCCGACACCTCGCACTCGTCGTGTCGTAAACTGCACTCTTTGCCTTTCCAGCCTGGGTTGCACACGCAAAACCCGTCCGCTAAAAAAGTTCATATTATATGTAAATATATAAGCTTTTTATTAAATTTTACTAGAATTAATTTTAAGAACAAATTGATTGGATGGTGAACTTTACCATATTCTCCTCTACCACTGCAGAGAACGGGACAAACGCCTAGAAAGATGGAAATTTAACTCCATTATACTTTCTCTTATTTAATTTTCAGAAAGAAATGCAAAATAAAAATCAATAATTTTTTTCCCATACTTTGACTACAATCGTCCGCCCCAAAACCTGGATTGCAGTGGCAATGACCGGATTGACATTGGCCTGTAATCGTTTTAATTAGAGTGCATATTTTGGTAACATGTTCACATATTTGAAAGTCAATAATACACATCAGAGTGGAAGTGGATTGAAAAAACTAACCATTTCCAGAGCACCCATTCGGACATCCTTCAGTCATTTCTTCGGATATGTTACACACAAAGACAACTTCCTGCGGGTCACTGTCATCATTATATAGACTGAGGAACCAGTGGCCAGCTTCCAAGAAGTTGCTCAACTCTTTAGAAACAGAGGGCTGCAAGGAAGACATGCATACTTTTTTGGTGAGATTTGCAGTAAAACAATCCTCCACGTATTTGCAAATTCATACCCATCATTACATAAATTACGCTAATCATCTCTCACAAAAGAAAAAAAAAACGAATAATTACCGGGGAGCTGCGAGTAGTTCTGGTTTTGAATCCGCGAAGAATCTCCATAAAGTCATAATGAGTGTGCGAAGGAAGCGCATTTCTTCGTGCATAGAACCCGATGGAAGCTCCACGAGCTAAACAGATCACAAAATAAATATTATTCAGTATTTGACGGGTATGCAATTGCAGACTAAAAATCTCCTTGCACTAGCAAACAAATAATTCCCATTCAATCTGTCTCAAGAAATTGGCATATTCGTTAATTAACAATCGCCAAAAATTAATACTTTTCTGGAGGACTTAACAGTGCATAAAACCTCTGTTGTTTTACCGTTCATTTTCGTTGTGTATCAATATAATAAAACTTTTGTTATAGGTACTAATGTTTCACATCTCTGTTCACTACAGCTGACTCAAAAGTGTTTCTTACCAACGGATAGCTCCCAGTTGACATAGGCCCCTTCGCCCTGGTAGAACTGCATGTTCCAGTAACTGTAAGGTCCCACCACGTGAGACAACCGGGTAGGAATCGTGATTTGCCCAAAGCTGAAAATTGATGTGTAAATAATTTCCATGAAATGTACTACACACATTTGCATAAATTACTGATAAGACGAATACAACTGTATATTCAATCAGATTGTGGGTTTTTTTCTTCATACCTTGTTCCATCCGGCGGATAGTTAATTCCTGGAAATTTCCCACCTGTCAACAAGCAACAACAATTTCATTTACGATCTCCATTTGGTTTCCTCCATAAGCGAGGAGGTCCGTAAATTTGCCACATAAACGCCACAGACGATGATGACGGAAGGGAGAAAACAGGTGGATGGTTATGAATTGGTCACAAGCAAGCAAAGCAGCACAACAAATTCTTAAAAGGTATGGACGCATGCTGATCAAGAAGGGGAAGAAGCGGAGCTAATGCAGAATTTCCTCATTGGTTGGTGCGTTCGAATTTATCTGAAATTGGAGAGGAGGCGTCAGGAATAATAATAACACACACACACACATCAATAATGATGATGCATGTTCATACACGACATAAGACATACATATGAAGAGAGAGAGCACACGTTGACTCCAACAGCAGCAGCAGCGTTTGAGAACAACCCCAAAAAGCACTGGAGTATTTCAACAGTGACAATGAATCCATTAAATTTGAGACTACCTGCTGATTGGCAGATGGTGCAGTTACTCTTACTTCGATCATAATAATGGTTTTGGCTCTTGCTGGGTTTTTCAGCTCCGGGAAAAACTGGAATGTAATTCTCTTCCGCTAAATCCACTTCTTCCTCTGTTTTACCAACTACTGAGCCATTCTCCTCACCACCAAACACCGGCTCATTCTTTAACCATGCCAGGTCGTTGATGCTGGAAAATTCTGTTGTTGTTGGAGGGTTGGAAATGCGTCGAGAATTTCGTCCGTCGTGAAACAATTCCTCTCCTCCATCCCCAGAGCCAGATCCTGAACCGGAGCCAAAATGGTCATCATCCCAAATGTTGACTTGCCGTTCTTCATCCGTTGTTAGTGGAGAAAGTCGAGCACTCCCAGACCCTTGGTAATCAACAGGATAATCTTCCTCGTCCGAGTCATCTCCATTCTGACCACCCAAACTCGGACAGTTACACACACACACGGCACCCCCTCGGTCGTCATTTGGGGCTGCAGTGGTTGCAACGGTAGTTGATATGAAACCACCACCCGCAAATGTGGGTGCTGTAGTTGATGTTGAGAATGCCGATGGGTTCTCGGTTAGGAAGTGGATGGAGCTTCGTGGTGGAGAAAAAGTACTGTGAAAAGCCACTTCCGTTGTAAAAGTCGTTGTTGAGGCCCCTACCACTTCTGGTTGTTCTTGGACTGGTCCCGTCGTAATACTACGTGGTGTGGTTGATGACTCTTTTATTTCTGCCTCTGGATTGTACCGAGTCTTTTGAAGATAATCGTTACTGAAGGAGGATTCCAAAGAGTGTAACTGCACTACAATATTTCCTGCGACATCGTCATCGTTGTCAGGTTTCTCCTCGTCCTCGTCCTCGTCCTCCTGCTCCAAGTCCGGTGGTGAGGAGGGTGAAAGCATTACTGAGGAAGTGGTCGTGCTTCTACTACTGCTACTAGGAACAAATTGCATGGCACTACTGTCCATGCGATAGTGAGGAACATGCACAATGGAGGAGTTTGGTAAGAGAAAGCCACCACCAATAGCTGCCCAATTTGAAGTGTATAGTGATTGGGCATTGTTATCATCTGCAGCCGCCACAACGCCGATTAAAATTCCCCATCCTCGTGCTTTTATGGTGAATGGATGGGTGAACGGAAAAATAAAGGGTTAAAAAATGCATGCTCTACATAATTATACGTTCTACAAAAATAGGAAAAAATCAGACCTGCTGGGGTGGGAACGGCCCTGTGGTTGGGTCCTGTGGGGTGTTGGGCGGACTGCAAAGTCCCGTTCGACCCTGATTGTCTGTTGTATGGGTCACCAGAACCGAGCCCATCTCCACAGCTGGAACTTGACTCGCTCCCCAGTGGCAGTGTTCCCGTGCTGTAGAGGATGTTCAGCACGAGGGAAATGGCGAGGAATAGGAGTGCTCCGAAAAAGATCAGTTGTCTCCACGTGCAGAGCCCTCTGACTTTGTAAATTAGATCATCCTCGTCCACCTTTGACCTTTGGCGAGGATCTGGAGGAGGTGGTCGCAGCGTACCCATCGTTCCACTCTCCTTGTAGAGCAGAGTGCCGGAAGTCTTTTTAGAGGCTGCGAAATTAACGTTAGGTTAATGACCTCTTCTTCACTTTTACTCTTAGGAGAGTACTCAACTCTAATTCTCCACTCCACTCAACATCTCTTCTCTCATTTTTCAAAATTTACATATTTACATTCTCTTCTCTCTCAATTATCAAAATTACAGTATTTACATTTTCAAAACTTAAATTTTAATTAGTTTTTTTTACAATGGTCAAGCCTATTGACCACGATAAAGTAGCAATGGGTTCCATGAACCGGTTTTTAGTGAAAAAGTCAGAAAAAGAGAATATTGTTGTCTCCAGCGTGGAAAACGTTCTCCCCTCAACTTCGTCGTCCTGTAAAGTGCAACGCCCAGTGGAAATTGAAGAAAATTCCATCGTCGCAGAACCTCCCCCACCAAATAAAAAACGTGTGATCCTGCAGAGTGGTGGAAATAATGTGAAGAAGTTTATCCTCCCGGACAATTCCAACATAAAATTAGGTTATCAAAATGATGGGGAGTTCGTTGAATTAGAGGAAACAGGTGAGGAAACAGGAACAAGGCCATTAATGAATGAATGTGAATAAATAAATTGTTGTAGATTCACCATACGGCTCCCAAGATGTTCCTCAACAACAACAAATCACATCAAAAAAACATACAGTGATGGATAGCATCAGAGACACACTCGTCGAACATCTCGGGTTTGAAGGGAATATCGACGACTTTTATTCAAGTGAGATGTTTCTGGCTCTGATGCGTAGTCTCCCTGCACAAGGAACTTGCGAAGTGAAGAAGGCGGATGGAACTATGACGAAGTTGGAACATGAGGAGAAAGCTGTCTACATAAAGTGGACAAAATCAAAATCCACAAAAGATTACCACCTCTTCTTTACCCAAAAAACAAACGCACACAAGAAATGCATGTTATGCTGGTGGCATTCTGCGGTTAGTACTAATTTATGACATTTTTGACCTTTGCTATTTATATATTTTGTATGAACTTAGGATTTTAAAAATGGACTCTGTCGCCTTCACTCCAAGAAAGAACAAGAAGTTTTGCTCATTCGAGACACCAAGAGTGCCACTCCTGTTTATTCAGTCGGTTTACCAGCCTTTAAGATGACCAAATATGATGAGGTGTCCGTAAACAAATACTTGAGAGACAGGCAGGGTCACCCCAAATTAAAGAAGCACTTTCGCGATCACCCTGACGCGTGGTTTGAGATTACGAAGAGTTGGCCTGTCCCTACAACTTCAGCTATTCAAAAGTTTAATACTGTATCGGTAAGTTTGTTTACCTTCAAATAATCATCCATTAATTAATTATCTCATATTTATAATTTGATGTTAATCACAGACCGCCTGTTTTTGTTAACTCAATTCCACAACGCTAATGCCGCTTCACAAGGAAAAGAAAAGATCAAGATGCTCATGGGTTGGATTGTGTTTCGAAGGACCAAGTTAGGGAAAGTTGGAGATACAGCCAACTGGGATGAAGTTTTGCAATTTTTAAAAGACAACCACGTTCAATTTACCACCGAACCTATGGACTACTTCATGGATAGAAAACAGAGCCCTCTCAAGCCTACTCCTTTCTACTCCAAACTCCCCCACACGTATGAAGGTCACGACAACAAGGGTGGTTTTTATGACGGGGAGAAACACTCGCGTCGAAAAACCCATGCCGGGAACGGAAGTACGGGCCACTACCGGCTGAAAAAGACTGGAATGTCACATGTTGACAAGAAGACAATAGTCAACATTTTCCAGGATGAACTGACAGAGGAAGAGACTGCGATACTGGGCTTAGTGGACGTTGGAAATGACGAGGATGAGGAAGAATTGGGTGAAGAGGAAGAAGGAGGCGAATTGGAGGAAGAATTGGACGATGATGAAGAATTAGAAGGGGATGAAGATGAAGGGTTAAATGAGGCGGCGAATATTTTTAATAGAATGAAGAAGAGGGCTGATCAGGTGGAGATGATGGGATTGATGGCCACTGTCATTGCTGCAATGCTCAAGATGACCAACAATAGATACTCCATCCACCCATTAACTACTAAACTTTATAGTTTTGAAGCAGGTTTTGATTTGGACACTTTTGGAACTCTATTCGCAATGAAGACGCAGCGTAAAATAGGGGTGGAGCAGGAATGCCTGGAGATAAAGGAAGGGAGAGTGAAGTTCAATTTTACAGATTAATTAATTACTAACTCCACAATGTTTATATATTTACGGTCAAGGTGTCAAGTCTCTCTCTTTGTGTTAAATGTTAAATATGTTTACATATACAAATAATTTAAACCCTTTTGTGAAATTAATATTATTATACATTCATACGTAACCTCTTTTAGGCTGATTTTCGATTTATGGTAATTAAAACATGATTTTTCACCTGTGCTTCCTGGACTCGTCTTGTACTCCGAACTCGAATTTTTCGGCGTATCTGTGAGAATGACAAAAAAGGATTCAGTTTGTATTTTCCTCACTGCTTTTCAAAAGTGCTGCTAATCTTATTGTGAGCATCGCATGCTATATGCTCGTGGTTCTAGTATCTCAAGATAGGGTGTATTTTTGTATGGATAATGTGGGTGGCAAGAGGAGAAGGAAATACGTAAAAAAGCTTGAATATGTCTTTTTAGAGCAAAATTCAGATCAATTTAAACTAACGTCCACATGACACAATATGGCTTTTAGGCGACATGAAGTTAAGGGGCTGGGAATATTCGGCTTACTGTCACTTAGTGCAGCATTAAAATAGTTCAAAATACCTGAAGGAATATAGACTTTTCCCGTATTGGTATGAAGCACAAATTGATCGATGAGTGTGTCGTGATTGAGACCAACGCCGGTTTGGCTCTTCCCATTGGAATTCATCGGTCTCTTCAGACTGAGTCGAGCCGTATTTGAGAAATCCAGCGTTCCTCCTCCCATAAGCAGGGCACCTAGAAGAGAGAAAGTCAGACTCAGTATTGTGTGACATTGGTCGGGACGATGGTGGTGATGATGGCATGGCGAAGAAGCTCCCTTCGTAAGTAGACAACCGCAGTGCAAAATAAACTCCTTTCACTACTTCCACTACTCCTTTCACTCACTGAACGTATGAAGGGAACCCTGAGCAAAGGAAATAAATGAGATGCAAATTGATTGAAGACGGAAATTCCAAACATCCTCATCTTCATCTTGTGGATTCCCCGCACCAGAGTCGTAATTACGTTCCCTCCCTTCACACTTTCTCCGAGAGAAACCATGAAAAAACCGGAAACATCGGCAATAAAATAAAAGCCAACTCTGCCTTCTCCTTTGCGCTCACAGTGAAAGTTTCCTAATGAGACAGGACTACTCCTCATACAGCAGCACCAGCAGAACGGTGGATGCCCACACATAAAGGAAAATTATATAATCCAGCCACATCAACATCATCATTTCTAATTCTCACCCATCCTCCTCGTCCTCCTCCTCCTCGTCGTCGCTGTCGTCCTTTCATCCTGGACAGAAAAAGACGGAGAAAATGGGACCTACGTATGCTGATTGTCCCACCAAGCACACAACCAACTACATACCCACAACCAACTCTGTCCTGTAGTTAGTTACCGATGATTTTCCTCTGAGCAGCCAACCAATTCCAATTCCACCCATCATCACCACAAGTAAGGAGAAAGAGACTACTCTTTTTTTCCTTCCACCTCAACAACCCATCTGCATAATAAGCTTCGTTATTCCCACTTTACTCCCAAAATTAAAAAGCAAACAGATTACTTGTAATTTAATCTAATTTGCTTTCTCTTGGTTCTCCTCCTGCCAAATTCTTTCTTTGCGAGATGGAAAAAGAAAATCCACTTGATTTGATTGAGTAGCAGAGCAGTAGTCGAATATGTATTCCGAGCATAGCGCATACATATGTACGTCAGTGGCTGGCTGGAACTACTATTGTGAAGATATTAGCATTTAGCATGCTCACGTCGGCAAGGTGAGCATATCGTCGAGAACATAGCAATTCAGAGATAAAGTGGTCCCTGGAGACGAGGAAACCCCCACCATCACCACGGAACCTTGTATAACCAGAACTCTCTCCATCCCATGAAATGCAGAGTTGGGCTGGGCGGATGTAACATCGAGGTCGAAGAACTAGTTGCTAAATGCCCTCATCAATATGTGCGTTGGAAGAACCGCAGGAGTGAAAGTGTCACGGAGGACAGAAGAGAAATGATTACGAGCAAATGTGACAGAATGACGGCGATTGAATAGTGCCGATTTTGTAAAAATAAAAAATCAACCAAGACTCATCTCCAGACCAGTTCTTCTATCCTCTCCACTTCCATTTCCCCTCCGACTCATCCACAATGACACATCATTGAGTGAGTGAGTGAGTGAGTGAGGATCTCTGATCAATGTTACTTTTGATGCTTGATGCTACCACGGCTGCTGCTGCGACCTCCTTTTACCTCCAAACTCCTCTGGGAATCCATTACGCCAGAGCACGAGCTGCATCATCATCCCCACTACGACCAACTATGTAGTCGCTTTCTCCCTCTCCCTTCAATCCTCCTCGCCTGCCTGTTCTTCCGTTCTTCTTCCTTGCTTACATCATGCACACACAGACGCCATCACCCCAAAATTGATTTACAATCGCAATCCAAGCCCAACTTTAGTTCGTGTCCTTAGTCGGACCACCCGTGTCCATAATATTCCAAACAGTCATTCATTCCTGAACGCTATACAAGGAAATGTTCGAGTTTACTTGGGAGGCGAATCAATCCAATATCATTTTAATGTTTGGCCAGGAGAGAGAGAGAGAGAGAGAGAGAGATTTTGGAAACATGAAATCTGTAGAGCGAAAAATTGAAGTGCTCCAACTACGTATTTAGACGAGAAGCAGTAGCAGAAACTCTTGAGCATTGTAGTGCGTACCCACCCATCCGTTCAACCCATCCATCCATCCTGGCTAAGGAGATAAATATTTATATTAGACTAATTCAAATTGTGGATAATTGAATTCCATGTTTGATCAGAGACTCCCTCATTATTTGACTTATTGATCGAGATGGACTCGAGTTAATGGAAACCAACCAGCTCTCTCTCTTTCTCTCTCTCTCTCAATTTTGTCGACAAGCGAAGAGAGATGATCAGATGCCCTGATCCTCATGCCACACTAACAAGTCAAGCCTCATCCAACTCATCCCTCTTGTGCAAATACAAAACTGACTTGTGTCAAGTCAACTAGCAACGTGGTAGCAGCAGCAGCTTCGACGACGACGACGAGTCTCTCCTTTCACTTCCATTTCCATCCATCCGTCCAATGGATATAGAAAGCTCACATCTCTCTCATCATCATCAGTTACCATCTCCATCATCAAGCATCGTCTAACTAACAATCCATCGACGACCGACTGCACGTTGGAGGAGTAGGGATGAACTCGAGAACTCAGTCGAGTGTCACAAATGCGACATCTTTCTCATTACCATGTGACGACAAGAGCTAATACTACACGAATGCTTTATTATTAGCAGGAGAATGTTGATATGTACTTACACTTACCGTTCTGCAGAGGTAAGGCAGGGTTTGGGAAGGGTAGCTCCGAGTCTGTGAGTGTGTCTGCAGAACCATTGTCCGACGTTGGGGAGTCGGAGAGACCCGCAGATCGTCCAGGCAGATAGGGTTGCTGATAAGGATTCTCCGAACTGTGACCCACCGAAGGCGTTTGGTAAATCACTCCTGGGGATGGACGACTCCTACTCCGGCGGAGACTCTGCTGGGTGTGGTGGGCGTGGGGGTGGTGTCCGCGTGGGGGCTCTTCCTCCATTTCAGCCCGGTGGTGGTAGTCCATTGTTTCCCCCAGACCGTAATTCCCCCCTCCATACCCCACTCCGCTCCCTGCAATTATACAATAAAAATAGGGCGTTAGTCCTTGTCATCAATCATACAATCTCATACTGTAGTTTCATAGATATGAATGCAGGCATGGTAAAATTCTCAGGCCTCAGTAGGGGGTCACTCTATCCTATTATTTGTATATGCGTGTGAGCCGCTCCCCCATCACCACGAGTAAAATTCATTTCCAACGCATTAGAATCTTGTTATTGTTGCGTAATAGGGAAAACTGGTGACAAAGAAGACGGAATCTTGTCATCTCTACGCAATATGCATGTGTATGTATGTACCATCGATATGGAAGAGGCCGTAGATCTCCACATTATTTATATTATTATTCGCTACAACTTTTAGCATGAGGGCAACTGCAACTGATTTCCTCTCCCAGAGAACAATGGAGACAAAAGAGTGTCTAATTTGTGGCCGGTGGGATGAATAATGGAGGGGACGAGATGGTTCTGCCTCCTCTTCACTCAAAGATTTATTCGTCAAATCAATTGAATTTGTGCGTGTTCCTCTCCTCGTAACACAACCAATATTTCAAGAAGTTGATCATCATCCTCATCTTTGCCAAGACAACATTTTCTCTCTTCTGGTGAAAGTATCTCTTGTAAATTTTAGCAGGCGTCAAACGGAGACGACCTTTGACCTCAAGCAGAGAGAGATCAACTACATGCCGAGAAAATCCAATCAAAATCCAATTGGAGTGAAAGAGAGTAATCCCGACTAAGCGAGTGAGTGAGTGAGGAGAAGAGTATCGATTGGCCAGAGTGGCATAAAGCATCATGATCATCATAATAATAATAAGAAGAAGAAGGAGCAGAAGGAATAAGAGTAAACAAGAGAGTTGACTTTAAGTTTGTTTTGATGAAGGATCTCCTCTCCGACTCCGCTCCTCTAATGTTTCCCTTTTCACTTTCTCTGGCTTTGGGTGAGAGCAAATGATCGGATAAAGAGAAACAGTGAGTGAGAGAGAGAAAGTCATAACCATCAACGATCCCTCTATGAGCTGGCTCCTACTGCTTTCTCTGCTGCTTTCTACTTGGGTGCTGTGTGGTGCTGCCTTGTCGAGCATGAGACGGAAATCGATGAGAAGGTAAGCTTTACCATATCGATCTCACTCAACCAAATAAAATACAAAGTTGAAACTGACTCTCTCAGTCAAATTAAACGAAAGCCATGCCTCATTCGCTCCATAATTTGTCAAAGGTTTCAATAACGACTCGTCGTCTCAAACTTAATTATTCCACTCTGATCCCAAGAACCCAATCAGACATCAATGCAACCGAGCGACAAGCAGCCCCAAAACACGACTTGTTCTCACCTCGCCTCACCATTACACACGAACAGTACGTGCAATACAATCAAGACACCTGAACAATATAATAATAATAATAGTAAAAATAATAATAATAACAATTTTCTAGAGTGGCCGTGGAGTTGGTATAGCTCCAGATATTGAACCATCTTCATCATCATCATCACCATAATCTAGATAGCGCGTGAGACGGGAGAGGAGAGAGAGATATGTAAAACTGGGTGCTTTGCTGGTGGGTAACTTTCTAATTCAAAAAAGAGTCCGTCTTCCTCCTTGCTTATTTATTCAGCCCTCCGCTAAAGTATTTCAACGCGCTTCGTTGCTCCCCATCTCGCACTTGCCTGCTTCCTCCTCCTCCTCCTCCTCTGCGTCAATCCAAAACCTAGCACCCAAGCCCGGCAGGAGAAGTGGTAGTCGTCGTGGTAGTAAAAGTGGAGAGAGGAGGAGGAGGTGGAGGTGTTGTGAAGAAGGTTTTATTAAGCAGTGGATGAAAGCAAGGTGAAAGTGGTTGGGGTGGGAAATGTTGATGAATAATTGATTGGACTTGTGACGAGAACTCCCAGAGGAGACGGAACAAACTCGCTATCTCTTCCTACAATTAACAACACCGTCGTTTGGATTTCACGACGACAAATCCACTGTTCCCTTAAACCCGGCTCATGCTATCTATACGCATCGCGGTACTGTCGTACTGTTCCAATATGTAGATAGTCCACACACACTTCTGCTATCTGATATGCGTATGAATGTATCTATATCGGTATAAACGTATCATCGTCATCACTATGTTCCTGCAATGATCGCCACTGTCACGGGGATATTGCACTACTAGCAAGATTTGCATTTCTACAGTAACCAACCATGCACGACCAAAGACAGAACCAAAGCCTTAAATAAATCACGACCCAAGACTAACCGCCTCAAACGATGTCTCTCATTCCGCCAGTTGTTGTCTCCTTATTGTATTTTACGAGCTCATTAAACCTGACACATGCAACAGAGACACAAGAACTGAGCTGCCTATACACAGGACCAGATGTGATACATGTGCACAGGTAAGAGCGAAGGACGAACGGGAATGAAAAGCAGCATGTTTGAAATTCTCTCAGAAGTTGCCATTCCTTTAACTTATTTTCCAATAAAATTTCCATGTGATCAATAACAAGTCTGAGAGACAGGGTGATGGTGGATGAAAACTGATGTTGCCGGGAGAAAGAGAGAGGATGGATGAATGGAGTGCAAGGGGAAGTGAAAGTTGGGGGAAGGAATGCACTAAATTGGACGTGGAAGTGGCCATTCATTACTTTGTCTGTGCATATTAAGGCGCTCAGGGGTTGACAGATGAACACTGCTCATTGTCATTGTTGCACTGCTTGGGAACCCAATCGGCTGTGAAATTATGACACATTTCGAATTGTGACATTTTCCAAAAGGAAAGTTCAACTCTTAAGTTGAAGATTTATCGACTGGACAAAAGTTCACTCTGTCACTCAATTCTTGAAATGTCTTGCGTTTACTAAATGTTGACTAGTACATAGTCGAGATGGTGCACAGACATTTGCGACCAACATGCCTTCGCCCTTTATTTTGACGTCTTATAAGTATCTACATATATGACATGACTCAGCATCGCTTTGGCTCTCTGGCGACCCTTTCTCTCTCCATGTCGTCGTCCTAAAGACGACATTATGTTCCATGTCTGGGTGCTTGCTTATAAATTCAAAAAGGAGTTTTGTTTGCGCACCAAAGTCCGAAGAACGGCGGCTACGACTAGTTTGTACTACGTACTACTGCGACACACGGGGCCAAATGAATAGTGCGGGTGGAACGAGGCTAGGAGAAAGCTCATTACCATAACCTTGTTCCTGGACTGCTCGAGTAATGTCATGGTGTGCTTGGAAAGTTGGGCAGTTGTTTGGAGTAGGAAGGGCGAAGGCGAAACTAATTGCGAAATTTGTGTAACATTACAACCCTGGCCTGTAGACAAATGATTATGAGAGCCCTAAGGGGGCCTGCGGAAATCCCGGCTAAATATTGTTTCACTTGCACCAGAAGAAGCAGACGCAACTGCTCTTCTGCTTCTACTACTACTGTTGCAGTCCGAGGTGACCAGGGTAAAAGATGGAGCACACATTTATACCAAATTTGTTGTCTTTAAATCATATTCGCAGCAGGATATTTGCTTTCTCCGGACGCAATATCCGTCCTCCTCCTCTTCCCTCCAAGAAGAAAGTTGGACCAAAGAAGAAGTGGTTGCTCTTGGTGGGAGCAGAGAGGGAGACGAGTGGGTGGTCGTGGGTGTGGGGGTGACGAGGCTGCTGCTCCACTCGTAAACTACGACACTAATAGTCACCAGCAGCAGCTACATCACATTCCAATTTCCACCAACTTTCTCTCCAGCAGCAGCAGCAACCCACCCAAACCAAGAGTTCCGCCTTATTGCCTCTTCATGCAAAGTTGCGTCCCGACTTTCTCCCTCTTTCCCTGCTTGCTCCTCGTCGTCCTCGTCGTCGTCGTCGTTGTCGACCAAGTCAATGCAAATCACGACTGCACTAAGTAAAGTCACTCAACTCTACAAATGTCTCCCATGCCGAAATAGTAGCTCTGTCTCTCTCTCGCTCTCCTGTTGTACGAGCATTGAATGTAAAAACACCACATTCTCCACCAACCCGGCAATCAAAGGTAAGAGAAACAGGAAAACAAAATTATTTTATCAACCGTCCACTAATTTTTCTCGTAATACAAATTCCTCCAGGACTAAAATTATACTTACACTTTTCGCATGGACGGGCTGAGCAAAGTCATTTGAGACAACCTGCTGGTCGAGGCAGTTCTGACTATTATTATTATTGACACATGTACAAAAACCTGGTTCTAATCTTGTCTTTCCATACATACATATTTAGTATATTTATATACCGTACACATACACATGTACTTATTGTTAGATATATTTCAGAAGAAATCACCACAATTTCTGAACCAATTGTGACCTGCACTTGTTCCTAAGCAGTATTTACATTTAGTTGGGAAACTATTATAATAAAATTGTCTCAACCTGTTCCGAAAATCTCTCTCTCCCAAATTACCATCCACTCTAATACACATTTATTTAATGCACTCACGTTATTCTAAATAAAGTGTGTGCCCCTGTTTTCACCATCAAATAGTCAACAGCAGCGTTCAGTTCAGAGTGAAAGTGGGATTTTGTGTTGCTGGAAAATCTTTATTTGCATTTCGGTTGAGAGAGGTTAGAAGACTCTTTATGAAGCCCTGGAGGGAGAATGAATGGAGGACGGAGTGGGTGTGGCTCATTTGTTTACATTCTTTCTCCGTTTTACATTTAAATTGGTTTTTTACAAAAAAAAAGTCTCCGTCTGTTTGTCTTGAACAAAAATCTCTCTCTTAAACTTTTTTTCCCGTCTTCTCGCTGTTATTTACACTGCTGCAACTAGTCCGGCAGTGATCTGATCTTGCCATCTAGAACTGCTTTCACTGTTTCAAGTCAACACGTATATACGGACTTTGGCCCAACTGCACCCCCCACGCAGACTGGAGAAAAAGAAGAATGTTCAAAGAAATCCGCCAATAGAGAGGAAATTGCTCTTTTCAGCAGCAGTGGCTCCCATATAATGTGTGCCCCTTCCTCCTCCTCCTTCTCCGCTCCCTTCATTGAGAACAAGTA